TGTGTGAGGGAGAAATGGAGAAGGGGAGAAGTGTGAGTGTGTGTGTGTGTGTGTGTGTGTGTGTGTGTACTGTTCTGATTTTATCTGGAAATTTTAGCTTTTTGAATAATTCCCCTTTGCATTTCCCCTCTGTGAATTTCTCCTGGCTGGATTACTGCGAAGGGGCTACTCTTGAGGAGGATACAGAAACTTTGGTTGCCAAACTAGTATGGCCAAATTTATGAAGTTCACTGGCTGCTGGTTCACTTCTGGGTCCAATTCAATATGTTGGTACTTACATTTGAAACCCTAAGCAGCTTAGGAGCCATATACCTGAAGGAGCATATGGCAACCTGAACAGTAGGCATCTCGACACCTATTGCATATGGCACCAAGGAATGGTGATTTAAAAAGAGGTCAATTCACCAGGGCCTTAATAGGTGCAAAGTGATGGCATCCTCAGCCTGAGCAGTCTGTATGTGTACAGCTGCACCAGGAAAACCAAGCCCTTTTCTTTCATGGCATTATTACATGTATTTATTCCAAGTGCTTCTATGCTGACTTTCAGGGCAAAACCCATCCAAGGCAGCTTACAAAAGATACTAATCACTTCTCCCATCTTGATTTCTTTGCCAAAAATGCATCACTCCTGCAACCTATATGCTACCTAGCATGCTATTGGCACCATCGAAGTGCTCGACTGTAGCTTTATGAGTTAACTATGAAGAAATGGAAAACTGTGAGCCTGTCTAGGGTGTCCATTGGCCTCCCGCTTATTCCCCCGGGCTCAAATGAGAAGCAATTATTCAGAAGCAAGGAAGAAGAAGCTTCCATCCAGAGAAACCACATTTCCACTTGGCTGAGAAGTTACACAGAAGCAAGGGAAAATCTGAAAAATCAATAACAGGGTCTATGAACAGTGCTGTTGGTTTTTTTTTAATTTGAGTACACACACACTGTAATTGCTCTGCCTTGCTTTAAATGTCTGGTGGCCGCACACTTCACAGCTGCTGGTGCCATGGCTTAGTCTTGTGGGATATAAGGTGAAAACCGCTTGATGTACGAATTGAAGTTCAGTTTGAGTACATACATCATGCCACAGCTTTTAGGACCATGGAAGAATCGATAAAGCATGACTTTGGAGGGGAAAGGGAGAGACTTGAACAGAGAAAGCAGAGAGAGAGAGAGGAAGGTGGAGAAAGATTGAATATGCTCTAAAGAAAACCATGAGAAAATCTCTCCCACTCATCTAGTACAGATGTGCTTTACTTGTATGTCTCCTTAAGACATAATTGGTTGGCATTGTTTAGCAGTAACCAAAGCACCAGTCCAAATTGGATTCAGTCCCCTCACACACAAAGGCCCTGAGGCAAAGCTCTGCTGCACCAAGCCTAATTCATATTTTATAAAATGCAAATACCAATAAGATGTTCCAGCATGATGGATGGGTGGTTATAATCTGTCATGTACATCTAATACTTCTGTAAATATTTTCTGAAGATTATTCTGCTATTATATTTGCTGTTCCCTAGATGAAAAGTTATAATTCTAAATAATACTAGCCTGCAACTCATACCAGTCGTAATAGTATATTCTTCCCTGCTGCCCTGTGATTTATCACTGTTTCCATTAGGAATCCATATGAATGTAATATACCTGTTTAGACAGGACTTTCAGGATTTCAGAGGAGGGACAGCACAGCTTCAGATGACTGACAGAGGGAGTTTGGGAGGCATGCAGAGAGCAGGAAGAAGAAAGGTGACAGTTGAGACACTGTTGAGAGCGCAGGCAAGCACCTTCTCTTGTTGGGCAGGAGATGAGGGAAGCAAAAGGTCCCTATAGTCCAATAAGTCTGTTATCGATTTCTTAACCATTTATCCTTCACTTGCTCTCAGAAGCATCAGTGTAATTGGTCCTGCTTCCTGCACTTACTTGCTGGTCCCATTTAAGCCTTCTCAAAACTGTAAAGGTTTTTATTTGAAGTAAAGAAGAAGGAGTCCAAATGTCCATATATCCAGACTGCTGTCATGCCCCCCAACCCATTGTGGAGAGGTTGAGAGGGGGCCTGACAATAAGAGCCAAGCTAACAGCTGTCTGCAAGGAATGCAAGGAGGTTTCTTCAGTTCTTCCTCTCAACCTTTTAGGAAGCTGTTTGTCCTAGTATGGGTGCCAAGCCCAAGTCTGGGGTGCTGCTGCAAAGAATTGCTGCAAGGAGTGCAGATCTGATAGTTGAGCAACCTATATCCACCTCCTCCAGTCTGGTTACCATTTTAATGTATTTTTAACCTTTGTTGACTCTGGGGTTGTGGCGCTCATCTCGCTTTATTGGCCAAGGGAGCCGGCATACAGCTTCTGGGTCATGTGGCCAGCATGACTAAGCCGCTTCTGGCGAACCAGAACCCGGTGGCGCTGTGGGTTAAACCACAGAGCCTAGGACTTGCCAATCAGAAGGTTGTCGGTTCCAATCCCCACGACAGGGTGAGCTCCCGTTGCTCGGTCCCTGCTCCTGCCAACCTAGCAGTTCGAAAGCGCGTCAAAGTGCAAGTAGATAAATAGGTACCGCTCCGGTGGGAAGGTGAACAGCGTTTCCGTGCGCTGCTCTGGTTTGCCAGAAGCAGCTTAGTCATGCTGGCCACATGACCCGGAAGCTGTACGCCAGCTCCCTCGGCCAATAAAGCGAGATGAGCGCCGCAACCCCAGAGTCGGTCACGACTGGACCTAATGGTCAGGGGTCCCTTTACCTTTACCTTTAACCTTTGTTGGAAGCTGCCCAGAGTAGCTGGGGGAACCCAGCCATATGGGTGGGGTACAAATAATAAATTTATTATTATTTATTATTATTATTATTATTATTATTATTATTATTATTATTATCCTCCATATGTTTTAGACTTCAACACCCATCAGCATCAGCCTTCTTTGCTGGGGTTGCTGGGAATTTCATTTCAAAAAATATAGCGGGCACCAGGTTGTGGAAAGATTATCTATAGTCATGGCTTCTGGTTTGTGGCTGTGCCTAATTCAAAGTGCAGGTACTTATTCTCTAGAGCCCTTCATGGCTTGGGATCGTGAAAACTGTTGAATGACCTGTCTCCAAATGTAGCTATTCATATGTCGGATTCATCATCTGCCTGGGTCCCCTTGTCATTGCAGATACAGCAGATGGCAGCCAAATGGTGGCACCTAGATACAGTATAATCTCTGCAGGACAGCTCACCTAGCTAGAACCTGCCTTGATAGCTTTCTGGAGGATGAGAAGACCTTTTCCCCCTCTCCCCCTTCCCATACATTTTCAGTGTGCGCTTATTTTAATGTTTGGTATTCTGTCGCTTGTATCTGTTGCTATGTTTTATTGTGCTGTCATTTCATAGTTAATTCTTGTGGTTTTATTTTATTGCAAGCCACACTAGGAAAACTTTTGTTTTGAGTGTAGAATAAAAGGTAAAGGGAATAGAAATGCATTAAATAAGAAATGCTGTGCAAATCAGTTCTGGATAGAGACTGGAAATATTAAGAACTCAGATTATTTATTTACTTTTAATAAACTGGTATTAGGGTATGCATGCCCTGCCTTTGGGGATATCAGGGAATGATCCATCCCACCATAGCTGTGAGCTTTCCTAGCATCGCTTGTGATGCCAGCTCACAACTTGTGACATTGTAACAACACAGCTGTCACTGTAGTCAAAGCTAAATCTTTATTTTCAAGAACAGTGCCTCAGATGAGAAGGCTGAGTCCATTAACTTTAAATCTTGCCATTTTTACTCTCTGTTCCATCTCTTGCAGCTAGAGTGTGACTGCCCAGCTATAAAGGAAATTGCCTCAACAATTCCTTTATTTGTACTATTTTATGATAAATTTTAAGAAGCGCTATAGTGCAGGGTTGGTTTATTACATCCAGGAAAGATGTACTTAAAGCGGTGCCTCCCAAAACACAACTGATTGCCATGCAGATGCACACCTCTCATTTTATTGCAAGCCACCAAAAGCTTTTGGTACACTAGTTATAAAAAAGTAGATTTGCAATTGATGGTAGATACCGCAAGTGATGCAGCATGAATTGTATTGATGGGCACGGGGCATCATTTCTATGATACGGAAATATCTTCCAATAGAAGCAGCAGGGGTTTGATTAATGATTCATAAGGCTGAGTTTGCATGCAGCAGATTGTTAAGCACGTTTCTGTTTTGTTTTTTTTTATAGGTGGAATACACTGCAGTCCTGCTGGTTTGACAGGCGTGACAGGGTGGAAACCACTTCTGTTAAAACAAGCCCTCCCTACATACAAGCTAGAGAACGAAGAAACATGAAATGAAAACAAAGAAACATGAGATGAACCGGCTGTTTATGCTCTTAATTTGTATATTAACTATAACAATGCTTCCAAGATGTTGTTTAGTCGTTTAGTCGTGTCCAACTCTTCGTGACCCCATGGACCAGAGTACGCCAGGCACTCCTGTCTTCCACTGCCTCCCACAGTTTGGTCAAACTCATGCTGGTAGCTTTGAGAACACTGTCCAACCATCTCGTCCTCTGTCATCCCCTTCTCCTTGTGCCCTCCATCTTTCCCAACATCAGGGTCTTTTCCAGGGGGTCTTCTCTTCTCATGAGGTGGCCAAAGTATTGGAGCCTCAGCTTCACGATCTGTCCTTCCAGTGAGCACTCAGGGCTGATTTCCTTAAGAATGGATAGGTTTGATCTTCTTGCAGTCCATGGGACTCTCAAGAGTCTCCTCCAGCACCATAATTCAAAAGCATCAATTCTTCAGCAATCAGCCTTCTTTATGGTCCAGCTCTCACTTCCATACATTACTACTGGGAAAACCATAGCTTTAACCATACGGACCTTTGTCGGCAAGGTGATGTCTCTGCTTTTTAAGATGCTGTCTAGGTTTGTTATTGCTTTTCTCCCAAGAAGCAGGCGTCTTTTAATTTCGTGACTGCTGTCACCATCTGCAGTGATCATGGAATCCAAGAAAGTAAAATCTCTCACTGCCTCCATTTCTTCCCCTTCTATTTGCCAGGAGGTGATGGGCCCAGTGGCCATGATCTTAGTTTTTTTTGATGTTGAGCTTCAGACCATATTTCCAAGATAGAAGATGCCTTATATATCCAAGGAGCAGACCTGAGGGGAGTCTACATGCTCTGTCAGGCCCGTCCCCAAGAAAAGCCCTGCCTTCAAGCCTGCCTCTGCAGGCAAGCTTGGATCCAATTCCCTGGTTGGTGATGTGAGCGTTATAGCCGGAAATTAACTGAATACTCCATTTGACAGTTAAAATGCTCCTTTAAAGAAATGTAGAAAAAATGCATGAATTCACAATTGTTCAGACACAAGGGGCTGTCAATTCTTTTGTTATCTCCAATTTGAAATGTGATTATAATTGGGATTTCAGATCACTAGGCAAATTCAGAGAGGAAAGGAAATAGCTGGAGCTGTCAGCCTGAAGAGTCCTACACAGAAATATTGAAATAACCCGTCTTTCTTCATACTTCCTCTGTAGGTATGTGAGGACCCCTTGGACAATTTGTGTCCTGAACCCCTGACCTACCTGGCAACAAATGAGTATGCCAAGTCTAAAGTTCAAAGTCAGAGGGTCAATCCACACAAGCAAAATCCAAAGGTCAGGAAAAACAGTTCAGGGTCAATCCAAGTAGCCAATCTCAACAAAACTCTCCATTTGTGGTTTTGCAGCCCCAGCTGCTTGTTATTTCTACATCTGATAGCTAGTAGAGCAATTAAATGTCAGCTACTTCAGTTATGCTACCCTGTAATCAACCAATTAGTGAAATGCACCTCAGAACTGTGGGCTCATTTATATTTCTCAAAGCTGTTCTCTATATAGGGAGAATGTACAGCAAGAAAGCAACAGCAAAGCCAATTTAAACAAAACGCAAAGCAAGGAACAGAATAGAGTTTGCATAGGTGAGGAATTTTGCCTATATATATATATGCTAAGCCATATTATTTCCAAAAAATTTAAGGTTTTGTTTTCTCTAGACATAGGTAGGGTCAACCTTGCACACCCTCCCAATATATATGCATGCATAATTTGAAAGTTCAACCCTTTTATTAATGGCTGCTTGTTTTTACTAGACACAGGTATGAGGAGTTCTAAAATAGTCCCCCGTACTCAAATTCATCATTATCCTGCAAGAAGTATATATTAACATATTGAAGTTCCTTGTGCCAAATCAGGCCATTGATCCTTCCAGCAGTTGGATCACAGACTGAGGTTTTTCCTCAGCCCTTACACCCAATATAAATTCATTAGAGAGACCAGGGATTGAAATTGGGACCTTCTGCATGTTCTACTAAAGGCATAGGCAAACTCAGCCCTCCAGATGTTTTGGGACTACAACTCCCATCATCCCTAGCTAACAGGACCAGTGGTCAGGGATGATGGGAATTGTAGTCCCAAAACATCTGGAGGGCCAAGTTTGCCTACGCCTGTTCTACTACATACTATTGATTCTTTAACGTGTGGTGTAGTATAACAACAACAACAAATGTGCATCGCAACTGAAATATACATTGACATATTGGCAAATCAGCAAGGTACAACAGGGCCTGCATGCAATTATTCCACACAAGAATAGATGTATATTTCCAAAATGTAAATGTACGGCATTTCTAGCTCTACTGGTGTAGCTGGTACTACTTAATTCTATGACTTTTCACCAGCTGTCTAAACACCTCTAACGTGCAAAGAATTCTCCACTGGCTATACAGCTTCTGTGATGACACAGCTAGAGCATCCATGGGATGTTGTTATGGCCACCAAATTGAACAGCTTTAAAAGAGGATTAGACAATCAATGGCTAATAACCATGATGGGCAAGATGTATCTCCACAGGTGGAGGTAATATGCCTCTGAATAACCATTGCTAAGAATCACAAGTGGGGAGAGTGTTGCTGCCCTCAGGTCCTGTTTGCTGGCTTCCCATAACCATCTGGCTGGCTACTGTCAGAACAAGATGTTGGACTAGATGGAGCCTTTGCTCTGAACCAGCAGGGTTCTTCTTAAGTCTTTAAGAAAGGGAGTCTGACCCCAGGGTCATGACACCCAGCTACTTTGATGCTAAAAGCCATAAAGAAGTTCACAGCCATTGTTTCTTTGTAGTTGGTGAAGTTTCTGCCAGCAGCAATTGACATCTTCCCGTGTTTCTGAAAAATGCTGACAAAGGTAAATCCTACATTGTTTCAAATCATCTAAAGTATGGCAAGATGAGAGTCTCTCTGAGGTGTGAAGCCACTCATTTGGAGGATGAAGGAGGACAGAGACAAAAATGAATCAGAAGTACACATACTGGCAAATCAAGTCTTTCCTACTTCATCACTGTATCATAAATACAACGATCCATTTGTCAAAGTTAATTAGCAGCAGGGAACATTGCAATCTCTACCAAGATGAAACAATATTTGGTTCTGTCATAGTTCAGTAAGTATGCAACTACTTAAAATGCAGAGAACTTTTGCAGAATAATTTAATATGAACCCATGTTTCTAGCAACAGAGACTCTGAGATATCTTTCTTTTACATCTCTAGCCCTCCTAGAATAAAATTATAGGGCAAAATGCCAGGTACCTTCAAAACAATTTACATGAAATGAGTGGTGTGACTACCTTGAATATTTATTCTGGTAATGCGGAAGGCTCCCTGTTGTTACTAGACAGCAGCAACACCAGTGTGTGTGTGTGTGTGTGTGTGTGTGTGTGTGTGTGTGTGATCGCCCTAATCAGGACCTGCACGACACAGCTGATTTCCCATGGTTGTTGGGAGTAGTTGTCTCTCCCATTTTGTACTATGCCACACCCACTCCATGGCAGCCATTTTGTGAGTGGTACTCCCAGCACATTCTCAAAATATTACCACTTGTCCAGACAGGCAATGATATGAGACTGACATGATTGGAAGAGCAGTATTTAGGGAAAAGATTAACCCTTCTTTCTTTTCCTGATCTAAATCACACACAAACTTGAAGTGCAAATAGCTCTGTGGTTGATAAATGCACATATCTGTATTGTGTCTGTCTGCTTTTTAAATTCCCACTGTGGATCTAAATAACAGCCAGGTGAGGTTTAAACCAGGAAAATAGGTCAGGCAGGGGAAGAAGCTTCTGTGGTTCCTTTAGAGTAAAAATGAACGTGTTGGAAGATCCATTCACAGACCAAGCATACATGTGGCCCTTAACAATGTGTAAGTTGAAAGCTGCTGCTGGGAACTGTAATTTGTGAAAGGTGCTGGAAATTGCAGCTCTGTGAATGGTAAGTTAGAGTTCCCAGGATTCTTGGAATGGGGAAGATGCTTTAAATGTACTCTAAATATATGGTGTGTATGCAGCCAAAGATAGGTTATAAGAAGACAAGACAAGCCTGAGGGATCAAACCAATAGCCCCTCTAGTCCTGCGTCCTGTTCTCACAGCGACTGAACACTTGCCTGTGGGAAATGAGCAAGCAAAATCCCAGCATCTCCCCTCCTGTGATTTTCAGTAACTGTTATTCAGAAGCTGCTGCTGCTGCTGCTGCAGAGCAGATTTCTGCTTCCACAAGAGGAGTTCCTCTTCCTCTCCCTTCCTGCAGCCCCCTGCCATGCATCATCAAAATCTGCTCCAGATGGTTGCTGCGTGTGATAGGGCGGGTGGGGGGGGGGAGCTGCAGGTTGGAGCAGAGACAGGGAGAGTCCATTCTGTGAGCCAAAATTCACTCATGCACCATTAGATACCACCTAAGGTTTCTAAGGCAAAATTGCCATCAAAGCATAAAGGTGTACATCACTTGCTGAAGCACTGTGCATGAGACACACCCCAGAGCGCTGCGCTGGGAAGGTTCAGACAATCCAGAGTCCTTGGCTATTCACTCCATAGCATAGATATTTTATAAACCAACAGGACTGCTGTGGTGAGAAGGTGGGGTTCTCATGCTCGATTGTGTTTTTCCTCTCTTCCAGATGTCCTTGAAGTACACTGCAGGAGAGGGTTGTCTCCAAGTCTGACGACAATAAAGCTCTCAACGGGATATTGTTTCCAACCTAGAAATAAACAAGCTACCTTGGTGTTATAAAACAAACCAAAGCAGAAAGCCTTGTGTGAAGAGGGTTCTCCACTTCCTTATGAATATATCCTCGTAGCACTAGAGCCCATTACTCGTAACACTGAAAAGTAGAAACACAAAGGATGGTTGCTGTGGGAGGGTTCCTACTGGTTGTCTTCCTACAAACCCTTGCAATTGACTAGGAAAGAGCTGAAAATTGGAATGATTTGTTTCCAGTGTTTGACTTTCTCCCCCAGGAGCTAAAAGCGGATCCATGCGCAGCAACAAAATGGGCAGATAGCGGCAGTGGCAGACTCCAAACAACAGTGTGGTGTTTACTGGGGTGGACTGTGGCAACAGCACCTATATGATGGCAGTGGCAGCATCCTGCAGGTAGAAGACCCACCTCATCCCCATTCTGGGTACCACTGCATCCCTCTTAAATGACACTGCTGTCTATGGGACAATTTATATATTGTTCTTTTCAATTCTGGTGTCTATCAGACCGATCTTCTAAATTTGCAGATGTCTGAATATCAGAGATCACAAAGTATTATTTTATGAGTGGTTGTACACACACACGTGCGCGTATTTTACTGTTTCCAAAAATATATAGAAAATGTTTCCTGGGAGTCTTAACCCCCCCCTCCCCAATATTCTGAAAAATTTAAAAGAATGGGAAAATGTTTGAGGGTGGAACAATTCCCTCCTTCACACTTCCGCTAACTCCAGTGTTAACAAGAGATCAACAGTGTACTCTGCAAGAAGAGCAATCCCAAGCATAGCACATCTGTGTAAGTTTAACATGCTGGATCTCAACACAGAAATCAAACCTGTTATAGTTAGTCGTTTTCCTTACTAGCTGGCTTACCTGTGGAGTGAACACCTGGAATGCACATATGGACAGGCAACTGGACAAGGTAACCATTTGTTTTCTGGACTTCAGTCACAAATCTATGGCCGAATAATACAGTCGTTAAGTAGCCTGTGGCCTTTTCATTTGCCTTTATGAGGTGCAGTTAGTCAATATGCTTCTTTGTGAAGAGTGGCTGCAAGTGATGAATCGGTGTGCTCCCTATAAAGCTAGATTAACTGCTCTCTCAAATGCCTTTTGTAAAAGCTCATTGTCCTTCTGCAACAAGCACACCTGTGCCATTGCAGAAAATGCTCGTTAGCTCAGCGACAGGTGGAGTAAATGAGTGCATCATGTACTTTGTCAGAATTATCACGTATCATCAGGTCTTATCTACATCAACATCTGTTCACAAAGCAGTAGAACCAGCTGCAAGATCATCAATTGACTCGTGGTTGAATTTTCATTACAGGGCAGTATGTTACTGGATAACCATGTGACTATATACATACTGTAACAAGCCTGCTAGGATATGCCACAAGTACTATTGGGTGAATTAATATCTGAAAAAGGAGCCATTTTCCTCACAGCGTGAGAAATAAATAGGTCTCTTTTGGCTGTTGGTGTTACTGTAGCTGGAAGCTCTGGGCCTCAACAGTGTTACTTTCAGAACAAACAACAGGTTTTCTTTATAAGAAGCTGATGTCTGCCCTTTTGTGGAAGCTGGAGAACACTTCTGAAATGTTACAAATTTGAGAGCAGCATTTGCTAATCTAGTACCATCCAGATGTTGGACACCCAGCTGCCCAATGGTCAGAGATGATATAGGAGTTGTAGTCCAACAATATCTGGGCAGCACCAAGTTGGCAAAGGCTATTTTAGGCAAAAGCTTCTTCAGATCCTCAAATTGCTAAGAATGGCTGAAGACAATAGTAGTTAAGGCATGGCAATGGTTCACAATAAATAATTAAGAATTTAGTTTTTAAAAAGGCAAAAGAAACCCAACCAGATGGGAGGGGTATAAATAATAAATTACAGTGGTACTTCATACATACACTTCAGGTTAAATATGCTTCAGGTTACAGACTCCGCTAATGCAGAAATAGTACCTTGGGTTAAGAACTTTGCTTCAGGATGAGAACAGAAATCATGCTCCGGCGGCGTGGCAGCAGGAGGAGGCCCCATTAGCTAAAGTGGTGTTTCAGGTTGAGAACAGTTTCAGGTTAAGAACGGACCTCTGGAACGAATTAAGTACTTAACCCGAGGTACCACTGTATTATTATTATTATTATTATTATACAATCTGAAGAGAAACCAGAGTATAGAATTTAGCGGTGTAAAAAGCAAAAAAGTATATCATGGAAAGGCACAAAGACACAAAGTAAGCTCTCCCTGAATTCTGCATAACTTTTTTTCAACTTAATCCAAAATGTACTTTGGGTAATTTCTATAAATATTGAAAGAAAGTTGAGTTGAATCATTATCACACAGGTCACAGGGTTATTTGAGGGGAAAGGAATCAGTGTGCAAGGTCAGAACCCTCTCTAAAGACTGTTGGATGATTAATCTATCATTCAAGGTCAAAACTGTGTTTAAAGTTTTGTTCATCAGTTAATAAATTGATAAATGTTGAACTAAGAATTAAATAAATAGCAACTGATAAATTTTGAACTAAGAAATACACGATCTTAATATATACATGCTATTATAAGGATAATCCTAAAAGTTGATGCATCGATTAAATGATAGTAAAAGCTGAATTTAGAATTTGTTAAGTTAAATTTAGGAATTCACTTTTATATAGAAGAAATTGTGTCTCCTTGTTTATGTCTTTTAGGACTGTTTGGGGATAAAAATTTAGTAAGTAGCTGCAAGTCTCCTTTATGTTTACATCTCAAAAACCAATGGAACAGTTGAGTTAATCTTTATGTAACAGAATTCTCCAAAACGGTATAAAAACCATGTGTTTGAAAATAGCAGCATCCTAGAACTCTCATGCCTGTTTGTCTCCTCTTTGGCACTATCATATACAGGGGAATCCCCACTTATGTGAGGGTTCCATTCCTGGCACATCACTGGGATGATGCATGTGTCTGTGGGCACATGCGTGCTAATCATGCACAAGTGCGGAAATGCCTGTACAAGCACTTTTGAGACCTGGACTTATAAAATGATGGATTTCGTTACAAAAGAATAACAACCACCACCACCACCACTATTATAGAGTATGTATGTTTTATATTTGGATATTTATGTGATACCAGAATGATATGTTTATTAATAAAAATAGAAAATGTACTCAAAGATTCTCCTCTCCTTTATGTAAAGCCAAAATCAAACCCACCAGCAAAACAACTTTAGGTATATGCTTTGCTGAAGTGTATTAATTAGCTATTGGTGGTAAATTCCAAAAGGGATTCCTAAAGACTGGCACTGTAAACTGATAACATTAGCAAAGTCTAAATTCATAAGATGTGTTTGCATATTGTCTCTCCTTCCGCTAGCTGACAAATGGCTAGATTTTGATTAATTCTACTAATCAGTCTATTCCAGAGGAACTAATCTAAACAGGGGAAAATATTCTTATCTTACGATATTTTATAGTGTCACATTTTCTATGCCTCACATAATTAGATGCCACCTAAAAACAACCTAGAATAGGCAATATTGACCTTAAGACAACAGTGAAATTGGAATTTTACAGATAAGCGAATAAAAGATTCTTATTCTAGACTTGGATAGTGTAAGACAGTATGGAATGCTTACAAGGATGCATATTTTCGTGCCCATCAAGACACATCCCATTTCCCATGTTGTTCCAATCTTATTTGAACATTGCAAAAGAACAGATATCTGTCGTACAATGGCCAGCTCCCACCAGTCCAGTTTGCTATCCTTCATTGGACCTAAACATAATGGAATATTTCCAGTCAAATAAATCCGGAATTACACTTCAAATGGTTACAGTCTGACTTCAGTGCACAATAAATGTTTGAGAGAAGCAGCATAAATAATTCCTTCCCTTTTCCTTCTGACACGGAGCTCATCAAATCCCATCCATGCTCCATGATGAATAATGAAGGTTTTCTTGTCTTTGGAAGCTCTGATCATGCAACAAATTATTATACATCAAAGGAATGAGTTCTGCCTCAAAAGTGATGCTAAAAGTTATGCGTTAGAAAAGAATGAGGGGGGAAATCACACCTTAAAAACATCTGCAGAAATAAGTCAACGGGGATTTTTCACCTATTCCTTTCAAATTACTGAAACAGTCCAATGAGAAATAAAGAAATGTTATACAAATTGCAGGGTTCTATGGCTAGGACACAAGTTTTGTATAAAAGGTATGGTAGAAAATTAACTGGAAATGAGGTAGCACCACTAGCGGGCAAAACAAGGGAAGGAACTCCAGGTGCTACAAACTTATGTTTACCGTGAGCTGAACACAACTTGAGAGAAAACTTTATTACAGCACATTTTTTGCAACAATTCTGACCCAACAGGAATCCTATAGGAGTTAGATTACCTTAAAAAAACCAGTGTGGCCAAATCAAAACCTGGACTTGCTCTGAGTAATTTTTGCAAAACAAAATATGGTCTACAAGTATAGTATATGAGAAGGGTAGAAATGATGAAATGAGAAAGAAGCAGTTTATCAAACAAGAAATTAGACCCGTTTTGAGGAGGAAGGAAGTCTATTAGAATAGAATAAGAATCGGAAATAGAAAATAGGGTAACATAAGTCCGTGAGTAAGAGCTTTCGGGTTATGGCTATATGCTTGTCATGTGTTTTGTGTTTTCTTTTTAGTTTGTTTCTTAAGTGTCGTGTGTTTATGTGTTGTAATAAAAAGTTAATAAAAATCATTATTAAAAAAGGAGTTAGTCCAGTTTTCTCTAGCCTAGAACATTAAAAAAAATGTATTGAAAATTAAATGGTCTAATAACATAGCATGCAGACAGGTAAGGTGGGAAAAGCACCACTACTTTGTCACCAAGGCAACAGGGCAACCTCTTTGGACATGTAAATGGCATTGCTTAACTGACCAGCCAAAGCTGTTATCTTAACAAAGGAACTGGTATGATGGGTTCAGCAGGTTTCCTCCCTTACAGTATTACCTCACAGATACAGGATCATAGGCCTGGAAGGAACCCACAGATATCACCCACATGGACCCTCCCCCAAACCTATAATCATATCATATCCAGGGCCAGCGAAGTGACTGCCTCAGGCAGCAAGATCCATAGAGGCAGCAGATCTTTCTTCCCCCACTTGTTCCTGATCCTCCGTAATCCCTTCTTCCCTGGCAGGGAGGGAGGTGCCATTTTGGGGTCTGCCTCAGGTGCCAAAGTGTCTTGAGCTGGCCCTGATCATGCCTTGCTTTTGAGTGTTCCAGAGGTGTCTGGCTTGCTGCTCCCTTTACTCCAGCACCTTCTTTCCCATAGTGGCTAAATGAATGTTTCGAGAAAGCTCAAAGCTTCTATTTAGGCATCATGCCTAGAAACTATGGATATACCTATCCTCTGAGAGTTCATCTTATTTAATCCAGGGATGGGGAGCCTGTGGTCTTCCAGATGTGGTTAGAGAGGACTCCAACTTTCATCAGCCCCAAGAAGCATGACCAATGGTCAGGGAAGAAAGGAGTTATGGTCCAAACACAACTGGAGAGCCAAGCACAACTGGTTTAATCCTTTGTTAAAGCTCAATAAAAGTGAGTGTCAGTGAATTCCACATAAATCACGTGTTTTGCAAAGAAGTACTTTTCTTGTTAATACGGAGGCTGCAGTTATCTGCCTCTCACAGATAAGTTCCCACACTACAATCACTGAGCAAACTGTAAGTTATTTACACTAACCAGGATATGTGAAATTGACTCATAAAGACAATTTACCAGCTTGGGGGTACTTTTTTAAATTCACAGTTCCAGAAGTATTGTACTGGAACTAAATTGAATCAACATGAGTGAGAAGATTTTCTTAAGAATTGTTTCACTTAAAAACAACAACAAAGCAACAGATTACACTACATAAAAAGCAAAACAAATACACAACAGAATTCCAGAAAGAGCCAGTCAGATTGTTTAAAGGAACAAGCCTTAAATCCAGTGCCTTACATATAGTGACAGATGTAAAGCAGCTGTCTCAGAGAAGAGGCACAGTTTTAGATTTTTCTTTTGAATCCCACATTCTCTGAACTGAAAATTATTTTTCTCAAATTAAAAAAAAAAAAGATTATTAAGGATTTTACCTGGCCAGCATTCCAATAGGACCAATGGATTATTGCATTTTCAGTTTGTAGTCTAATAAAAATATTTGCTTCCTCTGCTTTGCAATTCAGTGTCTCTTGTTTTAATTTACGGTGAATCTCTTCAAACTGTGGAGGTGTTTCTTTTTGCTGTGCACTGTTAATTACCGGCAACTTGATTTCTGCTGACTTCCTTCTTATCTATGCTATTGTCATTTCTTTCTCACAATGCAGTCTTAAGTGGAAGAGGGAAAGGGCATGAAGAAGCAGATCGACTGCAAGGTCCAAATCCTGATGGTTCATGCCAGCCAGGTCAAGGACTAGGAGGGGGCGAATTCCATCCTCACCCCCATTAGCCTTTGTCTTTAAGCCACAGTGCAGTGGCAGGTATTAACTACTCCAGCTCCAGGCTAGCACAGAGCAGGCCTTCCATCCAGGGACACCTCTTAAGAACATAAGGGTCTTGGACCTAATGGGATGCTGCCATTTCAGTATTCCTGGATGGACAATTATCTACCATAGCATTTGTTGTTGCTTCTTTTTTCTATTGATGCAGGGCATGGGCAGAATGCAAGGTAGCATAGCAAGGATAGCCAACATGATGCCCTCTAGATATTTTCGACTACAACTCCCATAACCTCCAGCCAGCATGGCCAATAGTCAGCTGTGATGGGAGTTGTAGTATAACAATATCTGGAGGGCACTATTTGGGCTACCCTTGTTGTATAGGAACATCAACATTTTTATTTGTGGACAAAAGAATTGAAAAGCTGGAGGTGTTAACAATATACTGACTGTGTTTTGGAAGATGAACAGTAGAGAAATGAAATGCAGAACAAAGAAACAATTTGAACCGAATCAGATTTTGGTAGCTAAGATCATCTGATGAATGTTACCGGGATGGAACCCTGCAAAATCAGATGACAGCTCAAGCATTGCTCATAATAATTGCAAAATGAATGTCATCACCACAAGGTGGCTCCATCTTGCTTTCCAGGAAAAAGCAAGCTCTATTTTAATTTTCCATTTGTCCTTCTGTGTTTACGTTAACAGCTCTAGCAAAACATTTTCACAGCGCAACTCAGCTGTGAATGAAGCTACTTTCACAGAAAGCCTGCCATAAATAAAAATCAATGAAGACCAAAAGCAGAACAGGAAAAGATATAGCTTTATGAGTTGTGCCAGCTTGACTGCTGGGAATGAGTGCCAATGACCTAGCAAAAGAATACTAAGAGCTAGGTTTCTTACAGTGCAACCCTTACATGCCTGGTTGGAAGTATACTTAGGGGTTACCAAACTTTTGGAGCCTGTGGGCATGTGTGCGAACCAGAGAAACACTTGTGGGCATGAAACACACACCACACTCTATTCTACTGGCTACAACACAATGCTTCTTGAAGCCAAATTTCAGTGGGTTTAGTGGCAAAAAGACATTATGGATGCCAGGGAAGGCCTCTGAAAGATCCCAAGGATGTGTATAAAGAACTGCAGGCACAAACTGCACAGTTCCCTGAATAGGCAATTAGGAAATTCAGTTCAAGAGTAAGTTCTGAAATCACATTTCAGGGAGGGAGAGGTGGCAGGAGGGGGGAAAGAAAAAAGTAAGGCAGTCTCACTTTTGGAGACACCAAAGACTGAGAGAGCACTGTGAGTTGTCTGAAGACAAAGTATCTTAGGGTGGAGTGGCTCCCTCCCTGGCAGGTATGAGGAACCTTTGGTCCTCCAGAAGTTGCTGAACTACATCTCCCAGCAATCCCAGTGGGCATGGCCAACAGCCTAGGACAAAGCACCAAAGCTTCTGATTTATGGGAACCTGCTGCATGCATATATATTATTTAAATATATTATTTACCAGGCAGAGGGCCTTCTCAGTAGTGGGACCCGCCCTGTGGAACACCCTCCCATCAGATGTCAAGGAAATAAACAACTGACTTTTAGAAGACATCTGAAGGCAACCCTGTTTAGGGAAGTTTTTAGCGTTAAATGTTTTAGTGTGTTTTTAATATTCTGTTCGGAGCTGCCCAGAGTGGCTGGGGAAACCCAGCCAAATGGGCTGGGTATAAATTTATTTCATTATTATTATTATTATTATTATTATTAAACTTAATACAGAAAATACTACAAAAGCACCAGATACCTTCAGTACTCTGTTCTCTCATCGAAATGAAGCTCAGGCTGCAAAGGGAATTTTCAGTTTTCGCAGAAGTTATGAGCGGGCACCACTATTAAACAAATCCATTTGTTTTCTAGTTTTTTGGTTTATTTATTTTTTAAAGGGGTGGGCTTAAAACGAACCTAGGTAGTTAAAAAAAAACAACAAAACCAAGCACGACAGTGTAATCCTGTACTTGCCTACGCAGAACTAAGCCCCATTGGGGATCAATGGAACTCGCGCCCAGGTAAGTGCATTCAGGATTGCAGTCGGGAAACTTTAAGTAAATATCACGAGGATTGGTTGGTTGGTTTGTTTGTTTTTTGCGGGGGCGGCAGTTGATTGGCAGGCAGGAAAACATGGAGACGCGACACTTTTCCTTGCATTCCCCAGCGGACAAGTGAATTTAGGGTACAGCTGCCAACCGCGCGAACTTTAAAGCCGGATCTGCTTCCCTTGGTTAAACACACCGCATTAGGCCAGTCTGGTCTGCGCAGCGAGTCTTTTCTCGCCACCTGTTCCTGAAGTAGCACACCACCTCTCCCCCCACCGAACTACAAATCCCAGCAGGCTATGCGGGAACAGGTGGCGGAAGGAAGGTGGAATGTTGTCAGCCAGCTTTTCCAGAATACGCCGATTCACGGGTCGCGCGCTTGACCGCGTTGCTTGTCGGGACTTGAAGTTTTGTTTTTCCCCTCTTCCAAGCGGCGGTGTTTTGTCCGCGGAGGGGGCAGTGCAGGTCTGGCCGCGGTGCACCCCGGGAGCTGTAGTCGGAGACGGGCTGAGGAACCGTGGCGGCGGCTTGTGGCTGCTCGTACCTCTTGGGACTCCGCAGGGGCGGCCGGCGAGGGTGCCTCCGGCGCGCAACAGGTAGTCTTTGCCGCGAGCGCGTCCTTGTAGCGCCTTGGCCTCGCCTGGCCAAGCGGAGTGCGGGGGAAGGAGGACCAGGGGCCGGGGCGGCCGGCAAAGGGCAGGAGGCGTCGCGTGAGTAAATGCCCAGACCGAAGATCGTCGAGTGCGAAGGGGTCGCGAGGGTCATCTAGTCCAGCCCCTTGCGGTGCAGGGATCTTTCGCTCAGCGCGGGACTCGAACCCGCGACCCTGAGAGCGCGAGTCTCCTTCTCCACCGGCTGAGCTGTGGAGCGGAGGGGACGGTGGTCCCGAGCCCCTGGTGGAGGGTGAGGGGCTCACACGTCGACTGCACCCCGAGGAAACGAAGGTGGGCCTGGGAGAATGTTGCTCACAAATCTTCCCTCGTAAATCTTCCTTCCTTCGCTCGCTAATAGTTTGCAGGCTGCTGCTCCCTGCGGTTCGAGGAATCGGCTTCAGCGCCCCAGTAATAACTAATGGCCACAGCCAAAGTAAGAGGGGGAGCGAGAGAGTTTTGTGGCGCCTCGAAAGGGCTTTATTGTGGTCTAAAATTTTGTGGTCTTTGGAGCCTCCTCAGATGCACGGGACTGACAGCTGAATAGGCAAAAACTAGTAAACATCTCGAGTAATGATTTGGCTTATTTGCTTGTTAGGGTTGCTCCCTGCCCTTCACCAGGTTGAAGGGCGGGATATAACTCTAACAAACAGACGGTCTGTTGATTTTCATTGGCCTTTTGCCCTATGCGGGGTTTTTCTTTCTTTTCTTTATAGTTCTTTAAAGTTGCCAGTCTAGGTTAACACTTCATGGATCAAATGAAATGGAATTTTTGTCCATGAAAGCTTATGTCACTACTTATGCTTCATTCATTTATAACCACAACTGAAACACAAGAGTTAATAATACTTGGAAATATTACTAAATAGCCAATGAAATACTACCCTAAACTTTCCACAAAAGCTGTGGCAGAAAGGTATGTTTTAGGCAGTGCCAAAATACAGGGATGGTGTCTGCCTTATATCAAGGGGGATGGAAGTCCATAACTGAGGGGCCACCATGGAGAAGGCTCTGTCATCCCCCACTGCAGGCGCCCCGTAATAACAGAACCACAAGAAGGATTTTACCTGCAGATCTTAGTAACCATTGCTGTTGATCTGGGTGCATCAGGACTGGTAGCCTAGTGCTAGAATTACTGTTGGACAGGCTGCTAGCATTGTGTTTTTAAAAACAATTTCTACTGTACAGCAGTAGAAATACTGTTGTCAGATGTAAACCACACAGAGTATAACTCTTTTCTTTTCTTCTGGGCAGGAATAGTTGAGCTAAGTATCATCATCCATAATACTCCCTCACAGCAAGGAATTTGTACTGTGGGATAGTCTTTACATGCCTTTCCAGAATGTGAACAAATCAAAGAGGAACTGCAATACCTCCTTCTGCCCTGTTCTTTCCTATGGCTGTTTCAATAGGCAGTAAAGTACTTTGCTGCAGAAATTAGTGTGGGAGTAAATGGCTGTAGGTGGAACTCAGTATTCGCCAAAGGGAAGCACTGTGCGCAAGACATCCCTGTAATGGAGTCAGTGCTGCTTCCAGAGAAGGAGGAGGCAAGTTGACTGGGGCATCAGCATTGTGAAAGTGAACTGGTGGAGTCACTCTGATGCTCCTTCTGATGTGCCCCACAGTGCCAACATCCCCTCTCCCTGCCAGTAAGGAGCAGCAACTACACTGCAGTGGGTTGTCAGGTGCAGAGTGCACCTTTTCCTGCTTGCTATTACTGAGTTACTACAGTTTTAACAGCGAATTGCTTCCATATTAATCTCTGCACTAAAGTGGTGGTGAAAAGAGAAAGCATAGCTGAGAGAGAATGAGTTAAAAATAGATAACTAGGTTGAAATACAGTAATACCTCCGCGAGTGTCCGCCTTGTCTAGCGTCCATTCCGGTGAACGTCCACGGCAAACCCGGAAGTACCAGAACTGGTTACTTCCGGGTTTGCTGCTTGTGCATGTGCAGAAGCGCTAAATCATGCTATGCACAGAAGCGCAAACCGCTCCGCGTGCATGCGCAGACACGGCACCTTGCCCTGCGTCCTTTTCGGCTAGCGGCCGGGGCTCCAGAATGGATCCCGGCCACAAAACGAGGTACGACTGCTCTTGATGGTGTTACACTTCCTGTGAAGGAGCAGGTATATAGCTTGGGGATACTTCTGAATCCATTGCTGTTGCTTGAGGCTGAAGTTGTCTCAATGGCATGGAGTGTCTTCCATCAGCTTCAGCTGGTGGCTCAGCTATGCTCCTGTCTGGACAAGGATAGCCAAACTTCTGCTGTCTATGCTCTGGTAGCCTTTAGGTTAGATTACTGCAATGCATCATACTGGGGGCTGCTTTTGAAGATGGTTCAGAAAATTCAGCTAGTGCAAAATTCAGTGGCCAGGTTGCTTACTGGGGCAAAACAGTTTGAACATATAATACCAATCCTGACCTGGCTGCATTGGCTGCCAGTTAGTTTCCGGACCCAATTCAAAGTGCTGGTTTTGACCTATAAAGCCTGATGTGGCACAGGACCTCAATGCCATAAGGACCACCTCTCCCCATATGAACCAATCCAAACCCTGCAATCATCATCTGAGGCCCTTCTTCATGTGGCAACACAAGAACAGGCCTTTTCAGTGGTGGCTCCCCGTTTGTGGAATGCTCTCCCTAAGGAGGCTTACCTGGTGCCATCAATATAGATTTTTAGGCGCCAGGCAAAAACTTTCCTCTTTAACCAGTACTTTGACCTCTGTCTGGCCTTTTGTGGGTGTTTGAAATGTATTTTAATGTATTATTTTAAAGTTGGTTTGGTTTGGTTTAAATGTATCTATTGGAGTTTTGTTTGTTTGCTCATTTGCCCATAAGTTACTTTGAATTGCCTTTGGCAAGAAAAAGCAACTAATTAATGTAATAAAAAATAATATAAAGGAAGTTACTTCCTGCAGTTAAGTCAATACAGTCCTTGAGTTGGAAAAACTATAAAAGTGAACCTTCAAATTATTTGGCTTGTGAGTCCATGCAGTAGTTGGATTACAGGTGTTTCTAGTTTTAAGTGGGAATTTTGGTTGATATAATTTATGCTGTTGAATATCATTTGATGATTCAGAGATCCTGGAATCCAGTCTCTGTAGTATCATTGTGAGGAGATAATCACTTTGAAGAAGAACATCAGTTTGGCTGATTATTCTTCTTTACGTTTGCTAATCATACTGTCTAATTATACAACTTCTGCTTTCCCCAAAAGCATGAAACTAAAACTGTGGATAAAATTAAAATGTTAAACTATTCTTCAGAAACTCAGGTTCATTTGTTTTCTGTTTTCACTGGATGGAATGAGTCTTGCAGTGAAATGTGGTAGAACTATATTAAATAATACATCAGATAGCCAGCTCATTTAAAATGAACACACTTCTGCTTTACTCAGCATCTTATCAACATATCTATGCTGGATGATTTTGCTTTCTGCATATGCTAGTCAGTGTTCAAAGCTCCCATTGTTCTAGGTGCATTTTGTGACAGGGAATTTTGTTAGTGCATCTAAAATTTCAGATTCAAACTGCAGAGTGCCTCCCCACTTCCAGCTACTCTCTGAAGACTGCAGAAGAGACCCTCTTAAGAATATTAGGGGGTGGACAGGGGAAGGACTAGACCATGTGAAAAATGAGGACAGTAGCAGGAATTTAAAATAATTTGAACTGGATGAAGCAGAAGATGACCTCATAGTTAAGAAGGATGTACCAGGCAGGATTATGTCAGCATCCTAGGGTGTGAGAATTTACTGAAGCATTTTGTAAGACTTTGTGACATCTAGCAACCCTAAGTTACGTTCTGATTGTGTGAAATTATTTTCCTGTTTTCATTTCTTTATAAAGCCATTCATACTCTGTTGTTGCTTAATACAGACATTGAGGGGAATCCCCATGTTTTAAATAAGGTTATGATAATGTCTCTATAAACAGTTTTGTTTGTTTGAAAACCTACTTTCTCTTATTTCCAGATAACGGAAGGGAACGCGAATGAGAGTTCTATAAATTCTACAGTCAAGAAGTATAAGCTTTCTTACAGTTGCTAATGAAGGATGGCTACTCCATATGTTCCTGTTCCAATACCTATAGGAAGTTCTACTAGTTTTACCACGAATAGAAACCAAAGAAGATCATCTCTTGGGAGCATTTCAACATGTTCAGATTCTTCAAAAGCACAGCTAGAGGAATCTTCTATCAGTAGTTTTAAAAAGAGGAGTGTCCCTGATGCAATTGGTGCCACTTCATCTCCTTGCAATAGTCCGCTTGTGAGGACTAAATTTATAGGTACGAACACATCTATGGAATATTGCACTCAACCATCGGAAGATAGTGAGCAAAACATAAACTCTGGGAGCTGGGAAGATCGGCCTGCTACACCTACGATACTAGGTTATGAGGTGATGGAAGAGAGGGCAAAATTCACTGTAAGTTGTGCTTTTTTCTTCAGGAATTTTGACTAGTAACACATCATTTAAAGATTCACAGAATCATTAAAAAATACTAATCACGCTGCACAGTAAGTATGGGACTCTTCGCTGGCTTTCTGAAATGGCTCTTGAATTGCCTGCTAGATGCCATTTCCATACTATTTGATTCCCCACCACCATTCCTATCTTGTTTTTGACACATATTCTGGACAATGACTGCCTCATAGTATCCGGCTACCAGTGTTGTGATCTGGCCTTTGTGTATGCACTCGGGATTACTGGCATCTGCAGTTGTGGTGTGTGAGTGTGGGTGAATGTGTGCAGGTGTAGTAGATGGATTGAGGTACAGGTGTGTGAGCAGACATAGAAGTTGAGCAGGTGTAAGTGTATTGAGTGAGTGGAATTCTGTGTCACAGGGTTTGATGTTTTATATATTGTATAATTTATGGGTTCTGATAATTTCCATACAGTATTTCTATTGTTTTACCATTATTATTGTTGGTTGGTTGTTTATAAGCTGCTAAACTGCTTTATGATCTTTTCTATTGAAAAGTGGAATATAAATACTTGAAATTAATTAATTAATTAATTAAGCCATCTGTACTTGTATAAAAGTTGCTGATTCCAGCACTGTTGAGCTACTAAAAACAATAAATGCTTTCAGTTCTGCAAATTTTAACCTTGCTCAGCTTTATACACATGGGTAGCTTCAGCATGGCTGGAATTACATAAAGCGGTGTTAATTACTTTTTGCAGTCTGAGCTGGATTCAACAATTGAGGATAACCAAGGCTGTGTTTCTGAAGTGGTTGTTCTGTGTAAACAACACTTTAAAAAAACAAAAACATCCACAGAAAGGGAATTTTTATGGTAATTTAGGCTGCAGTCCTATATACTTCCTTATTTGGAAGTAAGACCCATTGAACTCAGTGGGACACTCCTGGATGGACATGTATAGGACTGCACTGAAATCACAAAAGGAGAAGAAGACATATGCAGGCACCATTAGTTTAGATACCAAATAGGTGGGTATAGTCCAACGAGTTCTCCCTTTCATCTGAGTCATCATAAATTAATATTGCAGATTATTGCAATGTACCATACTTTTGTTGGTTATACTTTGAATATGCATTAGATTTTTTAATCCTAACCTTAATTTACTGGGAAGCAATACTGTATTCAGATCTTTGAGACTTGATTCTGATTAACAGTGCAAGCCAAACTATAGGAACCCAGCATAAATTAGGATGTCATAAATTACCCCATTCCAAACTCAATCCAGGAGCAGAGCCAGCCCAAGCCTGACAGAGGGAAAACAATACTTTATAACAGTATGACTTGCACAACCCTTTCTGCCAGTCTAACTTCCACTCGATTGGTAGGTCATGTGATTGAGGCAACTGGAATTTGGAACAGAGGCAAGTCTCCCCCTTACCCAGTTCCTCCTGAGCTGGGATGAGTGACTCAATGTAGGTAGGATCAGGGTATCTTGTTGAAATACACTATTTTTGTGAAAATAGTTTAAAATAGAAAATCCAAATTCCATGAACTGGTTCCTCCTGGGAGCAGTAAAACAATACCAGTTCTATATTTGCATGAGATACCTGTTCATTTTTTATACTTTAGTATATATACATAGGCAAACTTTGATAACACTTGCTTCCTTTCTGAAAGAATAGTTATGTCAGCTTCCTAGTAATTATAGTGTAATATGACTAAAATGCTCACACAACTTATTGAAACTGCTATAATAGTTTTTTTTTATTTAACAGGTTTACAAAATCCTTGTAAAGAAAAATCCAGAGGAAAACTGGGTAGTTTTTAGAAGGTATACAGACTTCTCCAGGCTTAATGACAAGGTATATAATTCTTGATCTCCAGCTATTAATATACCAGATTAACATTTTTGCTTCCAGCTTTGAAAAGTTACAATGAGAAAAACAAGCAATTGCTTTGCCATAGAACTAGTAAGTTCACTGAGAAGTTAAATGGTATTTGAAAAGACATTCCAGCACCATATTTATTTACATTTTTTATTGAATTATTATACTACCCTTCATCTGAAGATCACAGGGTGATCTGCATATTTGACACCCGAAAATAATACCTGCAAGCCCTTTAACTTTTTCTGGTTACCTTCCCCCCCCCCCCCCCCGGGTTTGATCTGCAAAATCTTAGGTGGCACTCAACTAAGTTTTACTCAGAGTACACCCATTAAAAATGAACAGGCCTAACTTCCATGTTCATTAATGTTGAATGCTACCCCTTGCTTAATCAAGAGAAGGCTAATTTGCTAAGATTCATATATCTCTGCCTATTGTTGTAAACCTTCTTCTAACAAGATGCATTCCCATAATGTGTTTCTTAACTAGCCATTTGTTTGTACCACAGAAGACAGAGGCATAGTGCAGTGGCATGGCTCAAATTTCCACAATTTTTTGCTTTTTTGAAAAAGCACCAAATTTTCACTATACGTGAATTAATAGATAGTGGTTGTTTTCAGGTATTGGCGCACTGGTATTACATTTGATATGTTGTTGCTACTCTTCAAACCAGCTTGACCTGCCACCCTTTGCTGAGAAAATCTCATCAAAAGAACCCATTGCACATTAACCTGAGGCAAAGCGACAGAAATAGAAAAAATGCAAGGGGGGGGACACCTTACTGCTATATTAAATCTATGCAGAAAGTGTAATTCCTTACTATCTACTTGGTTTGCTTTTTTCAGCTCAAAGATATGTTTCCTGGTTTCCGATTGGCACTACCACCAAAACGCTGGTTCAAGGATAATTACAATCCTGATTTTCTGGAAGATAGACAGCTGGGACTCCAAGCATTCTTACAGAATTTAGTAGCTCACAAAGACATTGCTAACTGGTATGTGATTCTCACCTTCTTCTGTCACTTGGATTATTTTAACAGGGTAACAAAAGAATAAGACCCTCTTTAGCTGTTGCTCTTTTTTGGTAATACTTGGTTTGAGCTCTACTGCCCACTATTCTAAATTGTACTCCTGCTTTTCCAGAATTAGACTAATGAATAATTAAATTGCTTTCTGTGAGTAAAGAAACCCTCCCCAGACTAACACCAGCACATATGTTTCTGGGCCGGGTTCAGGATTCTTGTATCAATTCACAAGGACTTTAACAACAGTGGTCCAGGAAATCTTAACAACCACCTAATTCCATATATCCATGCCTAATCACTGAAGCCCTTTCAGGAGTAGCTGTTAGTTGTCGTCCATGGCTCAAAAGCACAGCCACATTTTCAGCATTGTGGACCCAATTTTGTAGAACTTCCTCCCAGGTGAGATGAAATAGGCCTTTCTCCTTTTGAACTTCTTACACCTAGTGGAGGCCTTTTTACTTCACTAGGCATTTTAAGTAAGTTTTGTTATTAGTTTTAACTTAACTTTACTGTTACTCAGCACTGCTCAGACAACAGAGTTAAGCAATATATAAGCTGTTGAAACTGAAAATTAGTAAAAGTGTAGGAACTTGCGTTATTTTAGGTTACAAAAGGGCAAATGTGTTTAAGACTGGAAATTGCAAAAGGAGTTTTGAGAGGTCTTAAAAAATATTTCACTTCTACATTCTAGCCGCTAGCAGGGTGGAATCTGTCTAAATTACAGGATTTGCCACAATTGGGATGCAGAGAAAGGGCCAAAGGAAGTCAGGAATGTATTTGTGTAGATAAGAAGATACCCTAAATCTGTGGTCCGCAAACTTTTTCTGCAGGGGGCCAGTTCACTGTACCTCAGACCTTGTGGGGGGCCGGACTATATTTTGAAAAGAAAAAAAAATGAGCGAGTTCCTATGCCCCACAAATAACCCAGAGATGCATTTTAAATAAAAGGACATATTCTACTCATGTAAAAACACCAGGCAGGCCCCACAAATAACCCAGAGATGCATTTTAAATAAAAGGACACATTTTACTCAGGTAAAAACACAATGATTCCCGGACCATCCCGGGCCGGATTTAGAAGGCGATTGGGCCGGATCCAGCCCCTGGGCCTTAGCTTTCCTACCCATGCCCTAAATGGTGTGAATGAAAGTTATTTAAAGGACTGCCTGCACCTGTATGAGACAGCTCAAGCTTTGAGACCAAATTCTGAAACCCAGGTCTCTGGCTGATCAATAAGATGGACAGATATCAGAGACAAGGCCTTATGAATAACGGCTCCACATTTGTGGAATTGCCTCACCCAAGAAATACATAACTCTTAAGATAACTTTTGAGATGCTTTTATTTCATTTCACTTTTGATTAGTCTGCTGTGCTTTAATTGAGGATGTGTACTTTAACTGTGTCTAAATTTTCTAGTTTTATGTAGTATTATGTTCTATTTATTATCCGTATACATCACACTGTGAGAGCAATGTATTTGGAAGGTGGTTGTTAAAGTCTTTAAATATACAAAAAATCTGCTGTTGGCTGTTTGGCATTGTGTATTCAGCATGTGGAGTTACAATATGGGGATTATCCGTTAATTTTATTTTTCAGTTTCTAAAAATACATATAAGAAGAAGATTTTTTTAAAACCCTCTAAAATGTAGATTTGAATGGAATGCCTTTGATTCTGCCTGTATTTGTTATATGCTTTCTAAGATGGGTGATTTTGAAGATACTCTTTTATGAATGCTTTAGAGCTTGGCATTGCAATCGAAACCATGTGTTGTTGTTTTTAATTATAGAATCTCTAGTTTTATGCAATCTTGAACCACGTATGTTATGAGCAGTGTGCTATTTGGCAGTACATTGAATTCTAAATGCCAACCTTGAAGCTGAAATGTTCCATTTCAGTGTGTTTGTTTGTGTTAATGGTGGCTGGTTATGGATGGGTAATTATAGTAGAATCCTGAATGGTTGGGTGGGCTAGACCGCAAGTCGTGACAATTTCTCAATGGATCAGAAATTGGTCGGGTGGAATTTGTCTTTGCCACTATTGTTGAACATTTCAGTACAGGAGTGGCTAAGCAGTTGTTCTCCAGTTGTTGCCAATGGTTAGTGCTGATAGGGTGTGAGCATAATCTTAAGAGCATAGGTTAGCTACTTCTGCTGCAATATAACAGCTGAAAAGTAGTGACAGAAGTGCCTCTTAGCAGGTACTTTCAGTTCCTATCAACTCTGTTATATATGAACTTCTTGAACTTTTGTCCTTTAGACTAGAGGTTTGTGCCATCTGATAGCATGTTGGGAGTCTCTCACAGAAATTGTAGCCGCCTGTGCTGCAGCTGTGACAGCAACAACCATATAGAACTCCTCCACAATAGGTTGTAGACCCAGTGTTCAGCTAAGAGCTTGTACTGCATAGTGTTGATGCAATTATGTTTGTGTGTGATTTTATTTTTATATTAAAAAAATGCAACCTAAAATGTCCTGAGACGCAACAAATAAACTCATCTTTTTCTGTTGCTTCTAACTTCTGCACTTCATTGCTAATAGACTAGTATGTAGAGTTTTCCAAATTCTTTCAAGATGTCTTGGGCTTCTTATGCCAGAATCAATGTTCTCATTAATGGTTTCTTCCTGACATGCAAAGTAGCGACACTCGTTCAAGACTCTGTGAACCAGTTCTCTTGCCCCAATATTAAACAGGATTTTGTTAGTGAGATTCTTCACTTTATAACGCCATGAATAAGAGTACAGTAAAACTGCATCCTAAAGTAACATCCTCATTGGAATGATTTTTAATAGGGATATAAGTTCACAATGATTATCAGAAATACACATTGTGCAAGCTGTATTTTCCCTTTTATTTGCTCATGAGTATTTCTTTTTGCATATTGTGGAAACTGGAGAAAGGTGTTAAACCTGTAAAACAGATGCTTGGATTACTTATTCTTCTGACAGGCTGGGCCGGAGTCATTTGTGGCTCGACCCTATCCTGGAGGAGAATCTAAAAAGGGATTCAGTTCTCTGCTGTTCATAAAAGGCAAGTGTGCATGTGTGTTTTCTGCTGCTCTAGTTGCAGCTTTCTGTAGAAGAAGCATACTTTCTGCTTCTATCAGTATTGCCCATCTTAGTGCAATAGAGCTAAAATAGTAATGCTTAGTTGAGTCTGTGTAAACAGCTTTGCTCAATCAAAAACTGTAAGTTAAAGATGGAATTCCCTTCCCCACATGCACCGCATTATGGTTTGGAAAGAGGAGAGGAAATCCAATATTGCTGTTGCTTCCATTAAAGTTCTAAATGCATTTGAATGAACTTTTGCATCACAATCCTAAACATATAAATCACACATAGGAGCATAAGAAATGACTTGCTCCAGCCTGCACCTAACAGATAACCAGCATTCTGTTTCCAACAGCTGCCAATCAGCTGATTCTAATAAACTCTCAAGTATTGCACGAAGGCAGCACTCTTCTGTTTTGTACTGCATTTTGTCTCCAACATCTGGTATTCAGAAAGGTGTACTGCCTCTGGCCACAGATCAATGTATAGTTTTAGGTTATTACAACCTCAGTTGAGAATATGCTTAACAAAACCCTACACTTGAATTCTCCCCCTCCCCCTTTCCACTAGTGGACAAAGAACTTTGTTTCTTAACTGCAACCACATATAGTACTTGTTTATTAGAGCTGCCAAAGGCATCATAGCAAAAAAAAGCCTACCCAAGGCTACCCAAAACCAACTGATATTTATCTTATTAAGTGCTTGGATTCAGTGGTTATATGTTTTTTATAATCATTCTTCCACGTAAAAGCTTTATACCATTAGTCACAAGATACACATTTTGTAGTATTTTTCACATTTTGTAGCTTAATATTGCCAAAATTTTCCTTAAACTCAGTAACGGGGTCTAAAAGAGGTACAGAACAAGTGAAATCAAGCTTGGAGAAAGCAACAATGCTTTCATATAATAAGCTGTTCTGAGGATGGCCATTTGCGATCTCATTCCACACCTTTTCAAAACAGCAGTTCAACCATGAAGAGAAGCTCTACTGTAAATAAAACTGTTTGGAAAGGGTGTGATATAACTGTCAAATGAAGCAAAGAAGCATTGTTCCTGTTTTTTCTAGACAGTTCATTTGACTGAATAGATGTTATGAGAGGAAAAGACACATTCTCACTCACTTACAAACTCGCTGACGAACCTGGAAATTCTACAGATGTGATGTTAGAGCAGTTTTCCACAAGCTTTCTTCATGTTTTATAATATCAAGCTTCCTTAGTCCCAGCCTGTGTGGACTGCTGCTCCAGAATTTCCAGCAGCTCAATGTCCTTCGTTGTTGATTTCTTCAAAACAAACAAACAAACTTTGCATATGTAAACTGGCAAATCTGTGAGAGGAATTTCTTCATAAAAATGATTTGCAATGTGAAGTGTTCTCCATATTTATGGTATTTAAAGCAGCAGGCACACTTGTTTGCATGTTTGGTTGAAGCCTTAGTTTAATCTTCTCAAAAGAGATGCTTCCACACAATTGACACATACAACTTGGTTTGTTTTTGTGTTGTTATATGTTTTGTGTTCTCATTTTGTATTTTTATGTTGTGAACTGCCCTGTGATCCTCAAAAGAAGGGCAGTGTACAAATTTACCGTAATAAACAAACAAACTTCTGCTAGTCAAAAGTACGCTGGAAAAGAGACAGTTTAGGAATAGTTACATAGGCTAGACATGGCTTGAGAAAAAATCGGAGCCATCTTCCAGAATACAGCAGTGCAAGTCATTCTTGCTCAGTTTATACAAGCCTCTCTATCGTCTCCCCTTTGAACAGTCTTTATTGACCCCAAACAAGTAGGCAGACAGTTATGTCTAGTGTACAGATAAGGCGATAATCCTGGGTGAAGGCTTATTGACAATCTTTATTAATCTTCAGTTTGAGTGCGGGGGAGATCCTGTTTGGTATGCATAAAGCAACTATTATTATCTTACATTTGTTTTGAAAAGCAAGGTTTTCATGTTTCAAAAGCAATTTGCTTATGTAGTACAGTATAGAGAAATCCGCTATTTGGGAAATGCAAATTCTAAGACTCCACTGGGACATGGGATTAGTTAGCGGTTCCCTTACTCCTGGCTGTTGTCATTCTGTATTTTAATTCAGATTTATTTATTTTTTACTTTTTACTGGGGAGTTAATCGGATTTTAAAATCCAGGATAAATTAAACTTTAAAAAAAATCCTCACCCTGAATGACTTTTGTTTTAAACAATTTCATTTTATATTAGACAAGCATCCATTGCTGGGGAGGGTGAAAATGGTATGGAAAACATTTATTTATACCTGCTAACTGAAACATTACACGTTGGTTATAATAAAAACAAACTTGCTCATTTTCGGAGAAATACTGTGTTTTGTGTTGTTTCTCACTGACTTTAGGCTGTTCTGTTTGGAGACCAACTTCTTTCTTTCTTTTCATTATTTCAAAGTCTTGCAGTGAGGGAGTTCCTTTGTTTGGATGATCCACCAGGACCATTTGATAGCCTTGAAGAGAGTAGGGTAAGTGTAAAGTAGTTATTTTGTTGTTAGAATAAAACACTCTTAACTGGCCTGTTGAATATGATGTTTGTCATGTGGTACCTTTATAACAGGAGAAGCATCTGTTCTCTTTGAGGCGGACATAAAATATATATGTCTGCCACATAGAAAAAGGCATGGAATGAATAATCTATGGACTGTACATTTACACAACAAGCAGCCCAAAGGCAGAAAGACAGGGCAGTTATGGAGCAGAGATCACGAAAGCCTGGGGAGGTGAGGGTGGGAAAAGAATGCAGGCAAGGTAAAGGTAAAGGGACCCCTGACCATTAGGTCCAGTCGTGACCGACTCTGGGGCTGCGGCGCTCATCTCACTTTATTGGCCGAGGGAGCCGGCGTACAGCTTCCGGGTCATGTGGCCAGCATGACTAAGCCACTTCTGGCGAACCAGAGCAGCACCTGGAAACGCCATTTACCTTCCCGCCAGAGCGGTACCTATTTATCTACTTGCACTTTGACGTGCTTTCGAACTGCTAGGTTGGCAGGAGCAGGGACCGAGCAACAGGAGCTCACCCTGTCACAGGGATTCGAACCGCCGACCTTCTGATCGGCAAGTCCTAGGCTCTGTGGTTTAACCCACAGCGCCACCCACATCCCTAAAGAATGCAGAAGTTGTAGGAAATAATTTTAAAGTTTCTTTTGACTATATTCTTCCTGCAGATTTTCTCAATCTCCGACTGTTGAATATTGTTTTATTCTGCTGCCTGGTATTTAATTATTGATGACTCATATTTGATGCATTGTTTTAAATCTACCTCTGCGATCTGATCCTTTTGCTTTATCAGTTGTGCATGTATCATACTTTAGGGTTTTCCTTCACTGGTTTAATTATATTTAGCATAAAGTATTTTCTCACATATTTTTAATATGTGTATCTTCATGATTTATCAGTTACACTGCTCAGTCTCACTGCTATTTCCTCCTACCTGAAATAGGATATTTTGTTCGGATTGTATGTGATTCTTTTTATTTGTTTTCCTTGGGCATCTGATTTTTCAGATATTGCAGAACCCATCCAAAAGTCTTTCTGAATTAGAATAATACCATTTGCTGAATGCATGCAGAAGAACAAAGAAAGAGACTTTTTTGGCTCACATCTAGCAGATATGAACCAGCTTAACACATTATGTTAATATGTCCAGTTCAAATACTTGGTAAAATTACTTTTAAGTTAAAACATTTGGAATGTTGTTAGCATTCCAAAATATATACAGATATTGTGTGTGTGTGTGTGTATGTTTTGAATTTGGCTTTTTAGAGGACAACTTTAACTATTTTAACTTGGTTTCAGTCAAAGTATAATGCCATTGATGTATTTTAATTCCTGTTAATTTTGGCTCTAGTAAATGGCAGGTCCCTTCAGAACTGTCCCATAGTTTAAGGGATTGGCAGCATTATATCTGCACCATCCCCTGGTGGATGCCTGGTTAACTGAATGTGCTACACAACCAAATGAGAATCTCTGCCAAATTACATAATAGGCTGTTTTGCTAGTGAAGTTAGCGACAAATTATGAAATGCAAACTTCTTAACGTTAATTGCAGGCTTTCTCTTAAAGAGAAAAAAATTGTAAGCCCTCAGTCCATGCTTTGTGATTTTCTGCATCAAGTGGTTTTGTTGGTAAAGGAGAGCTCACAGCTACAGAGCATCTTATATCTATCAAAAATATAGAGGAAGTCAAGAAGAAAAATATATCCACTTCTTATAGAGACAGTCTCAATAGCATGTGCAGTGTACCCAAGCACTGAATCAAATATTATTTCCTCTAGCAAGCTATTAGCATTTCACCCCCAAAAATGTTAAAATGCGGCATGTATGTTGGTTTAATTTTTCCTTTAAACACCTTTAATTTTTCCTTTAAATTTTTCCTTTCCTTTCCTGTTTTAAACACACACACTTTTAGAGATTGGAGAAGTGGTTCCATTTAAAGAAAGGGAAGTAACTTTGACTGACTCCTTGTGTCATCAGTCAGGGTTCTACAAAATATCAATTAACAATTTTGCAGGATGTTTGCTTTTCAGGTACCGTAACTTAACCTTAGAAACTCGGCAAGGTATCATTGGACCTGTGTGGCACCTTGGAGATGAACTAGCTTAGTGGCTCATGAGCTTTTGAAGACAACTTCCTCTTTCATTGGACTCATGTCTACAAAAGCTCCTACCTCAAAAACCCAGTTGGGCTTAATCCTAAACACACTTACTGAGACATAAATCCCATTAAAATCAGTGGAATTTACTTCCAAATAAGTGTATTTAGGAGTGGGTGTTCTTACTGCAACCATACTGATCTCTTTGCTGCAGTTTAGTCTTGGGATCTTAAGTTCTGCAATAAAATCTTTTAACATCAGATAACGTATTTGATGGGGAGGGGGCTCCACAGTAGTTGCAATGTTTATCTATGTCGCAAGGGACTGCGGGGAAAATCTCTAGTTGACCTTCTGAGCCCCATGAGGGGATTTGTAGAATTAATGTGGCGTGGCAACAAGACAGCATCATGTGTGCCAAGATGTAATCTCAAGTAATTACAGTGAGCTTCACCTATGCTTTTTTAATCTAGCTTTAGCAGAAAATGTCAACTTTTGATGGACTTTCTCAGTAGCCACATTCAAACCAATATGTGTTATTTTGTGTTTCATCATGATTATGCTGTTACTATAAGATTCTGCAATAGGTGCAATGCTTTTTCTGTTATGGCATAGTAGTTCCCTTACATTTTGCTAGTTCTGTTTTAATGTGTCAGTGCAATGAATAGTAAAGTTGCTACAGGATGCATGTCTGCAGAGCTGTGGTGGCTGGTCATGCAGATATTCTCAGCTGCATGGTTGGTCACAGCTTGTCATTCTGAAAATATTTTGAAATGTGGGTTAGGACGGTCCCTTTGTGAGCCGTTGTCTAGTTGTATACCATGAGGTTAGTTTTTGTTTTGTTTTTTGCTTGCATAAAAAATGACAGACTGATACAGTTTGTCCTCATTACTGCCACATAAAAATGTTCAGTGCAATGAAATAAAATTGAGGTTGTGTGCTTTTATGCACATTAAAAATTTAAACTATTGTAGTAGGGGAACATCATCAGTCTCAAGTCTTTGCATTTCTCACACAAAACTATTGCCTTCAAAAAAATCGTTTACTTTTTCTTCTAGGCTTTCTGTGAGACCCTAGAAGAAACAAACTACCGTCTGCAAAAGGAACTTGCTGAAAAGCAAAAAGAGGTGGAAGCTCTGAAAAAAATGCTAAATGAAAAAGAAGTGTACATAGACGCCATAGAGAAACAATTGGGGTAAGAGGACAGAAAATTCTTGAAACTAGAGTGCAATTTAAAAATTAATCCCAAAACATTGAGCACTTATTCATGCATTTCTGAAAACTTTTTTTGTTGCAACCATACTGCACTGCCTCTCGGTGGAGTACAGGGTCAGGTTTAAATGCTGGTTTTGACCTTTAAAGCCCTATGCGGCCTAGGACCCACGTACCTACGGGACCGCCTCTCCTGCTTTGCTCCGGGAGGAACTTAAGGTCCACAAATGAGAACACTTTGGAGGTCCTAAGTTGCAAGATGGTTAGATTGGTCTCAACTAGGGCCAGGGCCTTTTCAGTACTGGCCCCGACTTGGTGGAACGCTCTGTAACAAAAGATTAGGGCCCTGTGGGACTTGACATCTTTCCGCAGGGCCTGCAAGACAGAGCTGTTCCACCTGGCCTTTGGTTTGGACTCAGTCTGACCCTTATGCGTCCCTCCCCTTATGGTTTTGATCTATGGGCTACTATTAAAATGAGGCTGCGTTTTAAATTGTATTTTAACCCCTATTTTAAATTGGTCTCTCTCCCCCCCCCCCCATTATGTTTTTATTGTAATTTTACTGGTGTTAGCCACCCTGAGCCTGGCTCTGGCCGGGGAGGGCGGGGTGTAAATAAAAAATTATTATTATTATTATACCCTCACTTCTCTCCTGAAAGACAGGAGATAACCCCCAGAGTAACTCTTGCATAATTTTAAACTTCAGTTTAAAAAGGAAATAAAAAGTCTTGTGTGAAGTAAAACACTTTAACATGTATGTGAGCCTTTCTGACACAATTGAGGTTGGTGCAGGCCACATATAGCAAGTCAGTTTAACTACGTATTTCTTTGGATAGGAATGATGGGAGGGAGAGCAGTTTCCAAGTTGCAATCTCACAAAGAGGAAATCCTTAGTAAAGTTTCCTGAGGATGAGGACTTCTATTTTACTGTCAGTATGAACCTGAAATCTGGTGAAATAAATGATGCTGCTAATTTTATAGTTATTGCTTACTAGCGGCCTTGTACCTGACATTGCCCGGGAATTCTAAGGAGGGTGGGAATGAATGCAGAGTTAAAATTGGTGCCATTTTGAATGGTTCAGTGCAGTTTTGAAAGGTTCGCCATCTTGATTCAAAGGACCGTCCAATCTTACCCAAACAGAGAGAAAAAACTGCTCCTTCATCTCAAGAACCAACTATGCAATCTGATTATGAAACCTTAAGAGCTGTCCAAATGCATAGCAAACAAAATACTGTACTTTCCAAAATATTTTGTAGATGAGCATTCTGTTTAGTAGTCTAGTATCTAAAATACTTACTTTTCCAACATCTAATATAATTAGATTTTCAGTGCATAATGGATAAACAGTATGCTGAAGCATCAATACAAAATAGATACAATTTGTAATGAAAGTTCTTTGCTAATTAGTATCAGTGTCATTTCAAAATTATGTCTTAAACCTAATAAAGGAATGGAAATATAATTATGTGTAGAAAAGTCTTCTAAAAGAAGTTCTGCTTAGGTGCTTTTTCATTATTTCCTAGCTTAACTATATTGGATTGGATCTAAACTAACATTTAGCAGGAGCTACAATTACATTTGAAGAAGCAGACGGGGGAATTTTCACCAATTCCTCCTTTTCCCCTTATCATCCTAGAAAACACGGGGGAGGGGGGAATTGTGTATTCTCTTCTATCTCTAAATAGAAAGTCTCCTTACATTTGTGAAAGTGATTTTCTGGATCGAATCAGCTGTATCTTGAATTCGTTACACAGGGATTTAAATTTAGGAAAAGTGAAGTCTCGTAAGTTGTCAGGACAAGAGAGTGAGTGCAGTGGAGAAGTGGAATCCTCTGCAATAGAGGCAGATCAAGGAGCCCTGGAAGAAGACAACAGGTACAGTCTAAAATTTTCTATGTTTTATTTAAGGTTATTTTCTGAAAAGCCTTTCACTTCTACAGTCTCCTGCGATACGTTGTTGTAGAAGTGCCATTCACATTCCAAATGCAATTCACACATATTAAATATATTTATGTTACTTGTGGTTTCCTGCCTTTTTCTCCCCTTCAAAAAGTCCTTGCCCCAAACTGAGGTTAAAAGGATAGTTGAGGGCTGTACCTCTTCAGTAGGAGGTATGCTGAAGAAGCTGCACGTGGATAATGCTGGTTGAACATGAAATGATCTGATAGGCATGCATCTGTGATCCACCTTAACCCAGAGGTCTACGTATCCATGACTAATAATGTAAATAATGGGGGAAAACAGCATAAAACACAAAACCAGCAACCTGGCTTAGCAGATTTTGCGGGGCAAGGGTCTACCTCTATAAACTCTTAGTAAAAGAGATTAGTTTTCCAACTGTGCTGATCAGAATCGTGAGATAGATATGAAATGATTCCCCCCCACCACCAAAAAAAAAAGTGTGTCAAACATATTGTTCTGTCTCTACAGTTCTGAGAAAGAGAATCGGGCAACATCTTGGAGCGGTTCATTGGCTGAAAATCACGTGCCAGAAATCGAAGTTGCTGAGGTAGCGTATACCACCGATGAAGAGATGTAAATGCTACCAGCTGCCTTTACAGTAGTGTAAAAAAGTCAATGTCTGGATTGCATTGAACAGAAGTATATAGTAGCTGTCAAGCAGAAGCTGAGATGGCAGAAGCTTGAATGTTTACATAAACCAATCTAGAGAAACCTATGGCATAGGAAGGATATAAGTGCTGCTTTGTCTCAGCCTTTATCTAGCCTTATGAGAGATATATATTAATATATAAAAAAGCTCTGGTTAAAGGCAGGTCACGTTGGAATCCTAAGTGATGTATATAAGTTATATGTACCCATATATAAAGGATAAATGCCACACATGTAGATATACCAATCATGTAGCATGTTGTATATCACATGCTTGCTATTAATATTTCACATTTTGTATGGACAGCTTTTTGGTATTTGGATTTTCAGATTCTTTATATAGGCATGTAACTTCTGCTCTGGGAAATATAATTCTGCCATATGGACTTGGAAAATGTATATGATTTCTTGTGGTTTTTTAAGTCATAAATGTAAATAAGTGATATGTAAATTATAATGCAATGATCTAGGAAAGCTTGCAGTACCAAAATTAAACCTTTCAGTAATGGGAATGTTATTTGTTTTCATAATGCGGAAAGAAATATCACACTGTGGGCATTCACCTGCACTTGAAAACAATATAAAAGCTGTCTTTTAACTGTTTTTCTTTAAATCTCCTTACACTTTTGCCACTCAGCCACATAATCAGCGAATCAACAAATTTGCCTTATATAAAGAACACTACCTCTTTCTTTTGTTGCTAATGCATAATTGCTCTGTTTAAAGTATGCATATTATAAACAGATATTTGAGTCATTAAAGCCATACTTCTGCACAGTTAAATAACTAAATCTAATTGCAGTTTATGTTTGTGTGTGTTTATAAAATATTGTACACCCAGGAACACACTATAAGCTTCACTCTCATTTTAAAATTTGTGTTGAACCTAATAATGCACTTTATAACAAAGAAAATATTGTGCCAAGTTTATTGGCTCTGTGTTTTTTGTGCTTTTTGTTCCACCTTTGGACTGAGGGAAGGTGCAATTGGTTTGTACAGTAGTGCCTTTTTGTATTTTGCTTGTTACAGATGTTATAATAGTGTGTCAGCTTTATGGAATCTTCAGAAACATTCTGCTCAGCAGTTATTTGCTGGAAGTGCCTTGTTTTGTCTGCTCTTTCAGTAGGAAGAATGCTTCTTTTGTTCTTCTCTGTGCCACCTACTCCTTTGTTTAATGCTGTTAACACACAGTCTCATGTGCCGGAATTTTCAATGGTCGCTTTGTGTTTTAGGGTGTGAGGACAAAGATCTCTGCAGGACTGTATGAAACCATCTGGGGCAAATAAACCTTTGGACATGAGAACATCTTTTTTTGGTCGTCTGTTGCAAAATAATGCTGGGTTTAAAAGAGTCTGGAGCTTAGCTAACTTGCTCCTTGGCTTTTTAAAATCTACATTCCATGTTTTGTCACGGTGCGTGGAATTTTAATGTTGGCTTGGAATGCATTTTCTCTGCCTTTTATTGCAGGAGATTTTTGTATATTAGCACCATTCCGGAGGTCACTATGCTACTTCTCCTTTCAACTGTGTACAAACACTCTTACTAGTCATGGGTGACTTGTTCCATCTTCATTGTCAGAGGCAGTAGCTCCCTGGATGCCAGTTTCTGGGAGTTGCAGATGGGCAGAGGGGTGTTTGCATGCTTCCCATAGGCATCTGGTTCACCATTGTGAGAGCAGGATGCTGGACCATTGGCCTGATCCAGCAGGCACTTCTTATGCTCTTATATAATAATAATAATTTATTATTTATACCCCGCCCATCTGGCTAGGTTTGCCCAGCCACTCTGGGTGGCTTCCAACAGAATATTAAAATACAGTTATCTATTAAACATTAAAAGCTCCCCTAAACAGGGCTGCCTTCAGATGTCTTCTAAAAGTCTGGTAGTTGTCTTTCTCTTTGACATCTGGTGGGAGGGCGTTCCACAGGGCTGGTGCCACTACCGAGAAGGCCCTCTGCCTGGTTCCCTGTAACTTTGCTTCTCGCAATGAGGGAACTGCCAGAAGGCCCTCGCGCTGGACCTCAGTGTCCCAGCTGAACGATGGGGGTGGAGACACTCCTTCAGGTATACTGGACCGAGGCCGTTTAGGGCTTTAAAGGTCAGCACCAACACTTTGATGTTCGGAAACGCACTGGGAGCCAGTGTAGGTCTTTCAAGACCGGTGTTATATGGTCTCGGCGGCTGCTCCCAGTCACCAGTCTAGCTGCCGCATTCTGGATTAGTTGTAGTTTCTGGGTCACGTTCAAAGGTAGCCCCACATAGAGTGCATTGCAGTAGTCCAAGTGAGAGATAACCAGAGCATGTACCACTCTGGCGAGACAGTCTGCGGGTAGGTAGGGTCTCAGTCTGCGTACCAGATGGAACTGGTAAACAGCTGCCCTGGACACAGAATTGACCTGCGCCTCCATGGACAGCTGTGAGTCCAGAATGACTCCCAGGCTGCGCACCTGGTCCTTCAGGGGCACAGTTACCTCATTCAGGACCAGGGAGTTGTTCACAATGACAGGTCTCCATAGCCCGATTGGTCAGTGTGTCTGACTGTTAACCAGAAGGTTGGTGGTTCGAGCCCACCCACGGACAGCTGTGGGCAAGATTCCTGCATTGCAGGGAGGTGGACTAAATGACTCTCGGGCCACTTCCAACTCTACAATTCTATGATTCTATGAAAACAGGTTAGGTAGGTTGGAAGGTAACTGTTATTCTCACCTTGCCTCTCTCTGGTTGCTCTGTGCGTCTTAAAAAGCCCCATGCATTGTGGCCTACCTTCTTAATGTGAGAAGTCTTTCTTCAAACCCCACCACAGGGCCTTTGTCTCATCACCTTTGCACTATCTCTGTTCCTGCCCATTTACATGGGACCTAATATTGTGCTAACAATGGATTAGGACTACTAGGAGTCTAGTGCTTGTTGTAAAATGGAGGTGTGGGGGGAGGAGTTGAAACAACTGGAAAAGCAACCTGCCTACTAGCTTGGGTGTGGATTTGCGTTACTTAGTAGGTATGAAAGCATTAATTGTTGCACATACTTCAGATTAAATGCGATTATTCAAGCGTCCATTATTAGATACATGCCTAGATTTCACTGTAATAATTTATGGTTAAATCCTTCACTAATTAAATATGAAGGTAAGTTTCTTTGGACTAAACTACGTAGACTCAAAATATGATTTGTACTGAAATACCTCATTGTGTTCGAAATTTTGCATAATTCTCAGTCACTGAAGCTTAAAAAAATAACAACAGTTTTTGTTTTATGCATCTGTTTAGAAAAGCTCTGTATGAGAATTTATTTTGGCTTTATAATAATAATAATTTTATTCATACCCCGCCCATCTGGCTGGGTTTCCCCAGCTGCTCTGGGCAGCTTCCAACATATATAGCTATGGCAGGAAGGTAAACGGCGTTTCCGTGTGCTCTGGTTTCCATCATGGTGTTCCATTGCGCCAGAAGTGGTTTGGTCATGCTGGCCACATGACCCGGAAAGCTGTCTGTGGACAAACCCCAGCTCCATCAGCCTGAAAACTGAGATGAGCGCTGTAACCCCATAGTCACCTTTGACTGGACTTAACTGTCCAGGGGTCCTTTACATTTTCCCCTTTACCTTACAGCATATATAAAACATACCAGTGTAATGCTGGCATCCTTCCATACCCAGTTTAGTTCTGGATGGCCTCTTTAACAGCTGCAGTCAAGTTTATTAACAGATCAATTCTAAACTATTCCTCCCCCTGCCCCCGGGCTTTTGGTTTGCTGACAGGTTTAAATTGACTCAAAAAAAATATTAAATATAATTCAATAACTATTCTGATGAACCACTGCCAGACTGTGGTCACATTCGCAACTTGCATTTAAAGCTCTTTAAACAGTCATCGTCAATTCCCCCAAATAATTCTGGGAGCTAATTTGTTAAGATACCTCCGTTCCTCTCACAGAGCTATGATTCCAAGAGAAAGGCCTTTGATGGTTAAATCACTCTGGGAACTGGTCTATAGGAGGGGAATCGGAGTCTAATGACTCTTTGGAGAAAGTTTCAACGAATTGGGATGTATTCAACTAATGTTTGCTCAGAGGCCCATAGAAATTAAGGGACCTAAGTTAGCTGCGGCCATTAATTTCAACGAATCTGCTCTGAGTAAAAGTTAGTTGAATGCAATCCATGTTTATGAGAGAGAGAGAGAGAGAGATGTTAGTAAACTGTCTCCTAGCCCCCACTCTAGAATAGTCATGTATTTCAAGTTCTGACCAGGGTGTAAGATCCTGCCAGAAACTGTGGAAGACCTGTGATGCTTTGTTGCATGGCTCAGCAAGCTTCTCCCCTCCTACTGAAAACTAGATGCAGACCTTGAAAATGGATGGGAGGAACGTATGAAGTGGGAGCAGTGTATGACTGAACCTAGTGGGAAGTGTTTTGGTGGTGCTATTTCAGATTGACTTGAATAGGAACATGAAATGGAATTTAATTTCTGGTAATCGGGGGTTGCTTTGAAGAAGCTGTGGAGAAGAAAAGGGAGGGGGGACCCTAAAGGAATCAACTAGTCAAGAGAACAAGGGAATCAGTTGTGTGTTAACCTTGGCAAACATGCATTAAATAGTTCCTTTATTTGCTTTCCAGAACAATCATCCATGGACAGGAAATGTTTTGATCAAAACACTGCTGCTTTGTTGGATATTATTTTATATACTGCTTTTATACTATTGTCAATGCTTTTTAAGTAGAGAGCTTTCTTTGTGCACTGTTATTCAGGATAATTAAGGGCTGGCATTCAAGGCTAGAAACATCTGCAGATTGTGTGTGACCATAAGCAGGTCATTTAACTATTTCCTAACTCTGAATTGGATCTAAAAGTGTAGCTACTGTATAAATCTTCTGTTTTTTTGTTTTTTGAATAGCTTATTCAATACCGTTTTATGCCATTTACAACAAAGAGTTGCGTCGTACCTGGAAGACTTAACACATTTATTATGGCACAAGCTTTAGTGGCACAGATTAGACTTTATCAGATGCAATGAAATATACTTGCTGCTTAACATTCATGGTGTTAAAAAGACACGCTTGGTTTGGAACAAGTGAGCACTAGTAGGCCTGCACTCATTAAAGTGAGTTAAGGAAGTTTGGAAACATTTTCTTTTTTTAATCTATATGCAATTTGGGGGAGAACGGTAGCTTATGTGCTTATTGTGCAGTTTACAACTCTTGACTGCTTTTCAATTTAAAGCCCAAAATAGTAATTGATTGAATTCTGGTTTTTTAATGTTATTCAAAATTAAATATAAATTCCATGATGAAAATACATATTGAAAAACTTAGTTTAAAAGGGGGGAAGCTAATATTTCTATATACGTGCTTTAACATGCACTTTGCTTCATAATGAATTATTAATAAATATTCCTTATACACAAATCCACTATTATAAAATATTAATGTTTTAAATTATAAGTTTCAACCACTAGAACTAGGAGGACAGGCTCATGTTATTTTTTTTTACTCTAAAAATACAAATCTATTCTGTTCCCCAAAGTTCCTAATTCTGGTTTTATTTAGTGGGTTATGACATTGCAACTCTCTATAACTTCCCTATGTTTTTCTTGATCTTAAATCATAATCACTGTATTCAGTTGTTCCCAAAACTTCCCTAAATAATTGGTTGAAATCTAATATATATAAGGAGGATAGGGCATGCCCATTCCACCAGTCTCACTCCATTAGTAATACTTCCACTAATTTTTTGGACAGAACAGTCCTTGGGGTTGGAGAAATGAGGCTAAGGAGCCTGTGGGTCCTCAGTCACCCCCCAAGAATGGGCCACTGTAGCCCCACAGCTGATGGAGCACCACTGGCAGAACACCTGTGTCCATTGAGAGTGCACTAGGTGCACCGATGCCATTTCACTGGCTGGGTGGCACTTAATGCCTCTTTCTATAGCCCATCTGCCTGAATGCTGTTTGTAGGATTGCAGCCTAGGTCCCTTCTGTAAACAACAAATCAGGATCAGCTAGCAGGTGCTGGGAAATATCTAGCCATTTCAAATGCCTGATAAAACACAGTAAGTTGTGTTGTAACTCTTAATGAAAATGCTTCCATGCATGAAACATAATTTAGAACTTGGCGTTTAAATAAGTGCCATTTATTGCAAAACCTGGGCAAGGTGTTCCATGACTCACTGTTTCCACATCTCCAGTGGTGTCTGATTTTGTTGCTGTTAATGCAGAAACCGGCTAAACCTTTAGCTGCAGCCAAGTTTGGGAAAAGCTGCTAGTTTGTTCAAAGACAATATCTAACGTTTATTCACTGCCAACAGTATAGGAGCTGCTGGGCAAAGATGGCTGGCATACTTCAGCATGGGACAGAGGTCACCAATCTTTTGGGAAGTGTCCTGGAAGTCAAGTCCAAGTAGGAGCAAGCATGTAATGAATAGGAACACGAGGAGAGAGCTCTGCTGAAGTAGGCCAAATGTGTGTCTAATCCAGCACGCTGCTTTCAGTGGCGAACTCGATGCCTGTACAAAGCTCACAAGCAGGACATGGTGCCATATGGTTTTATTTATGTCTACCCTGCATTTCCTTCAAAGAGTTCAAGGTTTGTCCCATCCCTCATCTTAACTTCTTGAAAAATTTGTTAGGTAGGCTTCTTATCCCACTCCAGCTATTATTCCCCAACGACAGAGAAACAGTGGTACCTCAGGTTACATACACTTCAGGTTACATATGCTTCAGGTTATAGACTCCGCTAACCCAGAAATATTACCTCGGGTTAAGAACTTTGCTTCAGGATGAGAACAGAAATCATGCGGCGGCAGCAAGAGGCCCCATTAGCTAAAGTGGTGCTTCAGGTTAAGAACAGACCTCCAGAACGAATTAAGTTCTTAACCTGAGGTACTGTCGGACTTGCGTTCAACCAAGCGACTCTTCCAGTCGAGTCCTCCGACGTGATTAATAACCTGAGCCTTTGATGAGGCTCCAAGCACGTTCCCCCAATACGCAGAGTATCCAGCATGCAGGGAAGGAGCCGAGTTAGTATGAGCTACATTGCAAAGAGCGTTTTATTTCTAACTACGCAGACAGAAAAGAAATATACATCTCTCTGTGAAAGCAGAGAGCAGCTGAACAACAAAGGAACAGGAAACCAGTAACATCACATCCGTCTCCTGTCTTCTGTGAGACTTCCAATAGCCTGGAATCTCCGGAATGCAAAACAGAGTCTTGTGTCTCCAAGCACTGCACAGTGGCACAAACAGAAACTAACAGGTACCACTGTACACTATTTTGGAATGGTTTTGCCTTTTGTCTGCTGTAGTGGGAAGCTGGTGGAAGCAAAGATAAGGAGACAAGCCGTATGAGCTGGACTCTACTGGAACATGTTCAGGTCTTCCACCAACCACAGCTGCCTGGGGTGTGTTGGTTGGCCATTTATCTGTGACTGAGAGGGTGACATAAGGATGAGAATCGTCTCTACCATACATTTGGTGGGGCACTTGTTTCTAACTTATAAAAAGCAGTTTATTACTTTTGAATAAAAGTGAACCAAAAACAATGCAGCATAGTAGTTTGGGGAACTAAAAAGACCCAAATTCAAATCCCCACTAAGCCATTCTTCTCAATGGGGGGCATTGGACCAGTCAGCCTAACTAGGCTCTCAGGCATGTTTTAAGGATGAAGGAAGGGCAAGTGTGCATGGTGGCTGGAAGAGAGAGGTAATAATAAAAACTGAGCCATGTCCATCCGTCTTGACAAAGTATCTTAATATACTGGCACTAGTCTGACACAAGCTATTCTCATAACCTGTGGCCTATAGAAATTAACAAATAAGGGCTGGAAATGTAGCCTTCATTCCCCTGAACTAAATCCAGCACTATATGTCTTCTTGCATTTCTGCAGCAGATAAAAAAAAGGCTATCCCTCTGGACTGATCCATTTCTGTGTATAAAATGAAGCAATATTTACATATCCTCAAAAAGAGGTTATGCCGATTTCCTCATGTAAGGGAGCCTAGCATGAGCAGATCTTCAAGCAAAAGTGGTCAAGCAAGTTTAACATTTGTTATTGAATTCAGAGTGCCACCTACAGGCCAGCAAAAATACCTCCCATCCTGTTTTTTTATTAAAAAAAGACCTTTCACATGCATCTCTCAAACATATTAACTTGGTCCAAAGGCCGTTACCATGACGCAGGTGGTTGTTTCTAGAAGTTATAACAATTGCTTCAATCTAGCATTCTTATTGGGATGTGGGTGGTGTTGTGGTGTAAACCACTGAGCCTTGGGCTTGCTGATCGGAAGGTCGGTGGTTCGAATCCCCACGACGGGGTGAGCTCCCGTTGTTCGGTCCCAGCTCCTGCCAACCTAGCAGTTCAAAAGCACGTCAAAGTGCAAGTAGATAAATAGGTACTGCTCTGGCGGGAAGGTAAACGGCGTTTCTGTGCACTGCTCTGGTTTTGGTGTTCCGTTGCGCGAGAAGCAGCTTAGTCATGCTGGCCACATGACGCGGAAAAACTGTCTGTGGACAAATGTCGGCTCCCTTGGCCAGTAAAGCGAGATGAGCGCCACAACCCCAGAGTCGTTCCCAAATGGACTTAACTGTCGAGGGTCCTTTACCTTTAGCAGCATTATTATTTTGCAGAGATTCCAGTATTTCATTAAAATGAGCAGGGCAGCTTTCCTTCTGAAAGCTTCAGTTGCACTTTGGAGCACAACACAGAAAGACTCTGTCTTTAAGATGGATTTCTAGAGTGTGATTTCCACCAATCTTACAATATCTGTCCAGCAGTTATGTAGACCGCATGTATCTAATGCATCTATACTTAGAAGAAAGTCCCACTGAGTTTACACCCAAGTAGGACTGTATACTTTGACTCTACCTAAAGAAAAGCAACACCTGATCCACTATGATGCAATTCCTAGTTAATAAGACTTCAGCCTCAGCTTGCTTGCTTTGCACCTATCAGGAGAAACAACATTACCAAGCAACTTTTAGCTAGTTTTGGGGTTGTTGCTTTTTTAAAAAAAATAAAAATAAAGAAGAAATTGGAGACAGAGAGAGAACATGCCAAAATGTGCCATGACTCTATATATAAACTGCAAAAAAATAATTTGCACCAATAACATTTTAACTTGCAATAATTTTTAAAATCATTTTATCGAAGGATTTCAACAGCTCATGCTTTCTATTATCCAAAATCTTTATAAATATACTTGTCATAGTGGATGCTGGTCATGATTCAAACAGTTGTACACACAAAAGCTTTTTTAGGCTCTCCTGAATGCAGCCCCCTCTCTCTCTATACACACACACACACAAATACAAAGAGCCAAAGGATCATTTACAGCAGAGGAAGCAGGTTTTTGAACTACACAATCTGCTTGTCTTTGAACCTGGACATCCACCACCTAGAGCCAGATACTAAAAATACATATTTACAATAATTTACAGTGGCTCTGAGCTGCTGCTGAGCACAGGGATTTGTTTTGAGTACTGTACCAGAATAGACCTCGGCTCACAATTCTTATCCAAGCTGCTTTCACTTAAGCAGTCAAATTTGCTACTATTGAACAACTTAAAACCAGAAATCTTTGCCAAATCTGTTGCAAATCACCCAGAGATCCACCTATCTCCTGATCCATGAAAGAATTATTACTTGACGTTGGGTATGAGTGTCACATTTTCCAGGGTATTACATGATTAAGCATCAGTCATCAGGGTGAAGAAAATATGTATAACTCATCCCCAGTAATGATGAACCAAAGCATAAGAGTATTAAGCCAGATCAATATCGCATCCTTTAAAAATAATTTGTGTTACCATTGGCCAAGCTGGTTGGGACTGAGAGGCACCCTCCCATCAGATGTCAAAGAAATAAACAATTATCTGACTTTTAGAAGACATCTGAAGGCAGCCCTGTTTAGAGAAGCTTTTAATATTTGATGAATTGTTGTATTTTAATATTTTGCTGGAAGCCGCCCAGAGTGACTGGGGAAACCCAGCCAGATGGGTGGGGTATAAATATTATTATTATTATTATTATTATTTGAAGGGGCCAAAGGTTTCCCACCCCTGCTTTACAGCAAGATAGGAAAAACAATTGCCAAGTCAAACACAAATATTTTCAGACAATATATTTATTTGCACCTTCATTATCCAATCATCTGAAACCCAGTTCTGTTTCTCCCAGGTAAAAAAAATGACCCTGTTTGAAATTTGATACTTCAAGTTATATAAATTATTCTATTATAAAGTGTTTCATTCAGGCAAAAAGGAAAAAAAGAAAGAAACTGAATGAGTGTAAGGAGGACATTTCAAAAGCCACAACCTTAAAAACCTATTAAGATTCCCCATTTGATAATAGGCATGGCAATATGAAAGGTTCAGTGTTAAAAGAAAGCTAAGTGGGAAGAGGGGAACAGAAGATTCTCGGCCATTCTCTGCCCACTATTCTCCACATTAAGTCTGATTTAGTGGACTGCAACCTCCATGTTAAAACGGTTTGATAAAATCAGTTTTAAGTTGGCTGGTCACAAAACCAAACACCCATTATAAACTGATTTCTCAGCCCGCCTGCCCCCCCCCCCATCAAACATGCTCCACTCAACTACCTTTGTTGGCTAAAATTAACTCCATTTTAGCAATCAAACACACAAAAACTCGGTGGAATTTAGCCACTTATAGCAAGCCAAACTGTATCCAGCATTTTAGACTGCAGAGCTCTTCATGTGTTATGTGCCTATACAAGACCCAAGTTGTCTTTCTATATACAGTGGTACCTCGGGTTAAGTACTTAATTTGTTCTGGAGGTGTGTTCTTAACCTGAAACGGTTCTTAACTTGAAGCACCACTTTAGCTAATGGGGCCTCCCTTCCGCCACCACGCCGCTGGAGCACGATTTCTGTTCTCATCCTGAAGCAAAGTGCTTAACCCAAGGTACTATTTCTGGGTTAGTGGAGTCTGTAACCTGAAGCGTATGTAACTCGAGGTACCACTGTATATGCTTGACAAAGATAGTGTCCTAGTCTTTAAGGTGCCACATCAGTCTTTGACTCTTCCATATAGGACCCTGAGTGAACAAGTAGCTACATGGAAGGAAACTCCCATAGAAAGCAAAGAAATCCAACAGCACAAAACTCTGGCAGGACTTAGACAAATATTTTCACAACACCCTGTAGGGCTAGATGAATCTGCCAATTTTGGTGTCTCTCAGTTGTTGGTTTGTCAGATTTTAAAATAGGTTCATCATAGTTCCAAATCGGTTTGTGAGGTTCTTCTGTTATACATATTTGTGAAGGCAATTTCTCCTAATGTAACACATTTTAATGCAAACTCTCTTAACAGACACATTTATTACACCTTTTGGTTGGAAAACTGCATTGCAAAATTCAGAAAAGTGCAAATATTGAAGGATAAGTGCATTTCGGCTTGTGTGTTGTTTGGGGAGGTGTGCATTAAAATGCAAACGAAATCAAATTTCTCCTTCATCTCTACCTAGTGGGACCAAATGGACCACATATTCCAACAACTCCAAACTTGTTTGAAACTCTACAGAGGATGTTGCTCTATATTAGAAACATGCCTGTTCATACCATCCTCTGCAGCAAACAGGGTTTGCAACCTGTACAAGCAAAAGTCAGTACGTACGAAAGAGGAAAAGCAACAGCCTGGGAGAGCTGCGTTTATCGGCTCTCAACTTTGAAAGTTTCTATGGAACAGAACCAATTAATTCAGGTAATAAGCATGCATGCCTGTACCTATACACAGAGCTTTCAGAGTCAAAGGATAATACTGTGTAGTAGTAATAGACTACCCCAGTCAATTTTCACCGGTAATATAAAAAAAAAATCAGATTTCTTCTGTATGAAAAAAGAAATTCATATGAGGGTGCATCTGAAGAAGAAGGCACACTTCAAGTACAGGTCTTAAGTAATCCTGGCTCTCTTAAAAATGCAGACACACACACACACATATACATACATGTGTACATATACACATACATACAGACATAAAATCCCACCAGGGACCAATGCCGGACTGTATCAAACACAGCCATGCTCTGTATAAAACAAAACACTGTTCCATAAACTTCTTCCATGGCGTTTCCCGTAACCCTGTAGATTGCTGTTAAGAAGCCCATGCCGCAAGCTGCTGCATATCATCTTCATCTTCCACCCTCTTCCTTGAAGATGCTGTAACAAAGAGATGTGCAAGAACTGTTAGAATATAAAAACAAGGTACAAACATGATGACTCAGTGGGAAGTCTTGGCCATGCCATCATGCACCCGATCCAAATTCTAATTATATCACTTGAAATACAAGACTCATCATCATGGAGGATGTCAATAGAAGGTACACACTAGAACTGCTCACAGAGTGCCAGGTAAGACCCAGGTCTTGGGTCTTGAACCTCAGTGCTAAAAAAACCCCTGTTCTTCACTTAGTGTATTCTGTCTTGATTCTTCCCGCTCATCCAATCAGAAATCTTGACAGTTTCAGGATATATATACTAAAATTTATTTCACCTGCATCATTCTATATCATAGATCATCAACAGACAGCTTAACATAAGGAGGGGCGGGGAGTTTACCAGGATGGGAAGGCAGCGGCGTAGCTGGTACACTTGGTAGTCGAACATTTGCCATTTTACTATTGAGTTCTTCTTGCTCCAGTTCTTCCAGTTCTGCCAACAGCTCATCCTGAAAGTTTTTTTTAAAAAAATAAATAATGGAAGGTTATGTTTTGAGAAACAGGGTCCACTATCTCTAGAGACTAATAATGGCAGCCATGTAAACAGCCACTCACCTAGTTGCCAGTAGCAAGGAAGTATCTGCTCCAGGCAATCAAGCAGGGAAGCTTTATTAAACTGGAAAACTCTGAGCCAGGGGCCAAATCTGGTCTGTCAATCATCATTATTTGGCTCATAGGGCCACTGTCTCCATATCTCGTCCACCTGCTGCACACCTGATGTCATATGTGATAGCAGGTGTGGGGCAGGTGGAGATGCAACTGGATTGGCTGCTCGTGCAATTGATCCAAGCAGGAAGCATGATTTATGGCCCCATATGTCAGCTGATATACAGTGGTGCCTTGGTTCTCAAACGTAATCCATTCTGGAAGTCCGTTCAACTTCCAAAACGTTCAAAAACCAAGGCGCAGCTTCCGATTGGTGCAGGCGCCCCAGAAACAATAGCCGACAACCGCATCAGACATTTAGCTTCCAAAAAACGTTTGAAAACCGGAACACTTACTTCCGGGTTTTCGGTGTTTGGGAGCCGAAATGTTTGAGTACCAAGGTGTTCAAGAACCAAGGTTCCACTGTATGTGGGAAATGGACTAGTATTATAGTATTATTTTTGACTGTAGACTTATCTTCAGGACTCTACAATCAATTACAAATCAATGCACCACACCCATATGTACATACAGAGCCTTTTTGTAGTAGAGGCTTTGCTTTAGTTGAGATTCCTGCATTGCAGGGAATGGACTAGATGCTTCTCAGGGTCCCTTTCCAACACTACAATTCTATGATTGAAAGACCATTAAACTTCGCTGGGTGTGTGCATTAACATGTCTCGCATATAGTTCTGAAAATTTTCTTCAGGGATGTACTGAGTCCAATTTCTCACCATTTAAACTGTTACCTCCTCAGTCAACTGAGAACTGAAGTGCACTTAAAGACAGGTGTTAAGTGCTTGGCAACCAGCCTGACAAGATTTTATCGAGCATAAAATTAAGCAGTGATATTTAGTCTGCATCTAGTTTATGTCCTTAATTTCATTACCAACCTCATCAAAGTCATCACCAACTTTTCTGGTAAGAGCTTCTGTGATTTCCTGAGCGATATCTTGCTGTTCAGTGATATCCTGCATCATGTCGTCAATTTTGTCCAAGTCCCTGAGGAGGCAAACGTTGATTTAATAAACCTGTATGCCACGCATGAACATTTTATAAAGTTACCCGGGTGGGACAGAAAACAGACAAAAACCACAGAAGTATCATGAAGCACCAAAGAACAGCAGAATAAAGAGAAGCAATAAAAAAACAAGCAGAACATCTACAGAATTATAGAACTGTGGAGTTGAAAGGGACTCTGAGGATCATGTAGACCAACCCCCTGCAATGCGGCAATAGATGTTAAAAAGCCCAGGAAAATAGCAGGTTCAGCTGGTGCCTAAGAGACTTTGGGTTGGAGTCAGACTTGGCACATCAGAGTTCTATTCACTATGGAGGAAGGGGCAAGATGATTTTTGCCTTTACTCTTTTCCCCTGCAGAGCCTGTTTCCCTCACCACCTCCACACACAAAAACCTCTTCTGAGTTGCTGGAGAGCCATCCTGTTCAGCATCAAAGACGGCACAGATTCTCAGTCCCTTTAATTAGCGAAAGGGACACTGTGGACCCAGCCTTCCAGCTTAGGCGTAAGGCAAGCCTCCCTGGTGAGAAAATGCCATAAGGGCTGCCACAACTTTGGACCCTCACCCCTAGTCACCATGACCAATTTCAGAACACAGGCAGGTTGATGCGAGGGAAGAGGTTCCTTCTAGAATCCATATACCAAGCCATGTAGGGCTAAGCACCAGCACTCTGAAGTGTGGTCTGAAACAGATGGTAGCTACCGGAGCTTTTTAAGCACAACTGAGGTGTGTTTGCAATGACCACTTAGTATCCTCGCCGCTGTAGTTTCCAAAGGCAGTTTCCAAAGGCAGCCCCACATACATTACACTGTAGTAGTATAATACCACCAGAACATGAACTTGCTCCCTTGTTTTGTTTTAGAGTCATCCCTCCCCACACACAAAGAAATTGGCCATAACCTAAAATGGAAAGGAAAGACACCCTTGCAGCTCATCAGTTCAGCACATGCTTTGCACACCAGAATCTCAGCGCAGCACAGACTACAGGGAGCAGCTAATCATGTTAATCTGGACTGCCACGGGGCCTGAAAAAACACCACAGGAGCCAAAAATACCACACTCAGCCCCTAATGTCTACCCATAAAATCTTGCCACACCTGAGGATCTAACGAAAACAACAGCACAAACCAAAACAAACCCAATGGTAACCTTAACATTGAAGGGCATTTCCAATGGACAGCTGACAGTGTGTTTTCCACTTACATGTTTTCATGCACCTTTTTCATCGCTTGGGCTGCATAGCCCATGTTCTTGAACACTTCCGTGTTAGTGTAGGAATTTTCGAGGGCTTCGCGTTGGAATTCAATGGTGGAAAGGGTCCCATCAATTTGGGTCAACTGTTTCTCGTATCTCTTTTTCCTCTTCAGTGCCTGCAGTGCAGCTGTTGGTGTAACAAGGAGAGGTTGGCAGGAGAGCTTTTCGTGATGCAGCTGCGGGAAACCTGTGGTCCTCCAGAGCATACCCTGACCACTAGCTGGGACTGATGGGACCTGGAGTCCAGCAATGTGTGGGAGGCCACAGGTTCCCCACCCCTGTCCTAATGCAGTGCAAATCGTGCTGCTTCACACCAAATAAGGCAGAGTAGCAGATAAAAATAAAGAAAGGAAGGGGGCTTAGGAATCCATCAGGCCACACACACAAAAAACCCAGGGTCCCTCCATAGCTTTCAAGAGGCAACACAATCTATATGAGGAAAATGAGGCAACAACATTCTAAGGGATAAAATATTGTCAAGATAAAAGCAAGATGTTGATATTTCAGAGATAAGATACAAAAAGCACACACTTGGGATACTTTCTCCTCTACTGCAGAGGCACATTCCAGAGCATGGGTAGGCAAACTAAGGCCCAGGGGCTGGATCCGGCCCAATCGCCTTCTCAGTCTAGCCCGCAGACAGTCTGGGAATCAGCGTGTTTTTACATGAGTAGAATGTGTCCTTTTATTTAAAACGCATCTCTGGGTTATTTGTGGGGCATAGGAATGCATTCATTTTTTTTCTTCAAAATATAGTCCGCGCCCTCCCCCCCCAAGGTCTGAGGGACAGTGGACCGGCCCCCTGCTGAAAAAGTTTGCTGACCCCTGTTCCAGAGAAACAAACAACTAACTCCACATTACCAGTAGGGCTTTCTGGCATTTACATCTCGAAATCTCTCTCAATAGAAATTTGTTACAAAGCGGAGGAGGAGGAGGGTAGAAATAAATGGTGTTCAGTTGGGAAAAGTGGATGAATGCAAGACTTGTGAATTTTGGCTATTTGTTTTCTTTTCTGCTTTGTGAATGTTTCCGCCCCAAAGCTCTACTTAGATCAGGTATTAGGGTCTCTACAAAAGGGCACAATTTAAGGATTCCAGAGATCATGCAGTTCCTTCCACTGTATTTCTTGGAAAAGGTCCCCTGCCCTAAATGGCCCATCCTTTTATGAAGGATGCAACACCCACAAGCAGAGTGGTAGGAATTGGTTCATCAGCTTTGGCAAAGCTAGGTATCAGTAGCCCTATTAAGTCATTGTATGAACACTAGGACGGTGTGCCCGGAATCTGCTTTAACCAGAATCTGCCACAGATGTTGCAAATTCTGTATTTCTAACATTGCTTTCAGAATGGAACTTGTCAGGACAAATCCATGGAAGTATGATCAAAATAATTCCAGGGAATAAAACTAATTAGAAATTCTTTAAAATTGGTCCCAGCCCTGCTGCCCCAAATTTGTTATCTGCAAAATTACACATTTGGAAAATCAGCAGGGAGACTGAAAGAGGCTACAGCCTAAAAAAAACCAAAAAAACCTGGTGGGGGAGGGGGAGCAAATATTTTAGACTGCTTTTTTTCTTTAAAAATGTTTAGGGGTACTCTCATTTTGACTCAAGAAAATCACCATTTTATAGTTTAAATTGGGGAAAATAAACACAGTAAATGGACAAAAGTACAAAGATTCACAAAATGTTTAGGGGTCTGAGTATCCCCAGAAAAAAAGGCACTGATTTTAGAACACCCTGCGTCTCCACTGATCTGTTCTCTGAAACAAAGTGAAACTCTGAGCAGTATTGTACTTTGAACTTAGTGCCACTCAGGAAACTGGGAGTGTCTCACAGAATAATACAGCTCTGCTGCTGTATTTGTGAAGGAGGCTGGTGAGGAAAAAGATCAGCCTTAATTCATTTCCTTAATGGGATCTAATGACAATGAAATGCTTAGAGATTTCACTGGAATGTGTGAAGTCAGTGGTGGGGGAGAAAAATAACTGCTGCATTCAGCCCAAATGAAGTTGTTGAGCAGCAGGTGTGCATAAACAGAACTGGGATTTCTTTGGTTCACTGTGGCCAAAATAAGAGGATTCCATGCTTCAAGAACGACCCAGTTCAACCAGTCCAACAACTGCAGCATGGAATGAGTTCATGCTAGGAAACTCCATAAGAATCTGAACAGCTAGTGCCTTTATTATACGGATTTTTAGGAAGACAGAATCCATTCCCTTTAGCTTTATCATATGTACAGTCATTTTTACAAATGGGTAAAGGTAAAGGTAAAGGGACCCCTGACCATTAGGTCCAGTTGTGGCCGACTCTGGAGTTGCGGCGCTCATCCCGCTTTATTGGCAGAGAGAGCCGGCGTACAGCTTCCGGGTCATGTGGCCAGCATGACTAAGCCGCATCTGGCAAACCAGAGCAGCGCACGGAAACGCTGTTTACCTTCGCCACAGCAGTACCTATTTATCTACTTGCACTTTGACGTGCTTTCGAACTGCTAGGTTGGCAGGAGCAGGGACCGAGCAACAGGAGTTCACCCCGTCACGGGGATTTGAACCACCGACCTTCTGATCAGCAAGTCCTAGACTCTGTGGTTTAACCCACAGCGCCACCCGCATCCCCCTACAAATGTGTAGATTTATCAAAATAAAAACATATAGTCATAGATATATGTCTTTGGATCATACGAATCTCCTTAAGCCAGTGGGGAACCTGTGGCCCTCCAGATTACAACTCTCTTCATTCTTGACCAACAGCCATACCGGCTGAGCCGGATAGCAGTTGGATTCCAACAAGGACTGGGCAGCTATAGGTTCCTCATTCCTGCCTCCACAGGCGTTTTAAAAACTCATGAAATTCGAAATCCAAAACATCCTAAAACAGAGGCCGCTCCCTTCAGCTTGACCCTGAATTGTATACAGATAAATACCAGTATATGAAACCATTATGCTGTTATACCAAAAAAAAAATCTTCTCAGCCTTCTAAAGACTGTATGGCCCCATCCAGTCAGAAATATATGTGCAGTTTCAGAAATGAAAATAAAAAGTAGACATAGGACTGCCAATTGCAGAGGTGTGAAAGACTAACCAACACTCTGGAAAGTCAGAGTCCGAGCCTCTGTCTGTCTGCTTCACAACAGTGGATAAGACAGGCTCAAGAATCTGGCTTTGCTTATCAGTATAACCATTTATTTATTAATTGGCAAATGCACATTTGTTGTTTACTGTACAGTCAATATAACCTAACCTGATGGTTTCACAATATTGGAGAGTAACTTACTTCACAGACAAGATATTCTGAAAGACCGGAAAAAGAAGGTTCCCACTCCAAAGATTTCAGAAACAGAAGAAAGCCAGAGAAGAAACAGAGAGTAATCTGAGGAAATAAACATAACATCACAGGTCGCAAGACTATATAGATTTATCTTTAGTTGTTTATTTTTTCTTTAAGAGTGCTGCGATTTTAAAGAGTGACAATTTCAAAATTGCAGTAGTAAGAGAAATATCAAGGGTAGAGTTTGATATTGGATACTTCTCTAATTACAGAAGTATTCATTTGGTACAACAGTTGTATTCAAAAAATAAAGGAAAAACTTCCTTTAGAGAAAGAAAATACAGCAAGCGTACAGTCTAGTAAGGCAGAGGCTACAGTTGCAGACACAAAACTGTACCCTTCAAACTAAAATGTAGAAGCAAATGGAAATGCAATGAATTATCCACCAATCATTAAACCACAATTATTTCCACAAAACTCAATGGTCACGGCGTAACAACAGGCAGGATTCCAGAGAGTTCTGTTCCCCAGCAGCTATTTGTCAATTTTTTACTAGCTACAGCACACACACACACACACACACACACACACACACCAGAGGTTCCCCAATCTACTGGAGCAGGAATGAGGGGGTTTATTGGTGTGGAGAAGGTAAAGAACAAAAGCAACTACAGAAAGAAAAAGTTATTTCACATGAATAGGGCTCTACTCATGATTTGTTGGGATTTACTTTAATACATTTAATACAGTGGTACCTCTGGTTACGAACTTAATTCGTTCTGGAGGTCCATTCTTAACCTGAAACCGTTCTTAACCTGAGGTACCACTTTAGCTAATGGGGCCTCCCAGTGCCGCCACACCGCCACTGCACAATTTCTGTTCCCATCCTGGGGCAAAGTTCTTAACCCGAGGTACTACTTCCGGGTTAGCGGAGTTTGTAACCTGAGGTGTTTAAATTTCTATTAACACCCTTCTCATCTGACGATCACAGGTCCATTTACAACATAAAAACACAGTAAAAAGATAGGAAAAAAAGATATTGTATAAATTTAAACTAAGTTTAATTTTTGTGAATCCAAAGAAGAGTATTAGTACATGGTTGTTTTCATTTTTGTCAAATTAAGAGTGTGTCTATTATGTATGTTATTTATGAATTTCAATAAAGTTATGTTAAAATAAAAAACAACAACATAAAAACACAAAAATACATGACATAGTAACAAACAAAAACAATACCCCCTCCCACAAAATATCAACATGCTTAGACCACATTCCTTTTCTTTCTTTCTTTCTTTCTTTCTTTCTTTCTTTCTTTCTTTCTTTCTTTAAAGTAACAGGTAAAAATAGTCTGTCAATTCAGTTTACACTTACATGTTGGCAAGGGCTACTTATGAGTGAAGGAAAAACTGATAACTTGGTGTTATAGCATGTGCTTTGCATCTTGTTCAGTCTCCAGCATCTCCAAGCAGGGCAGGGAAAGACCCTTTGCCTGAAATCTTAGAGAGCAGCTGCCAGTCAGTGCAGACAATACTGAGTTGGGTGGACTAAGTGTCTGACCCAATGTAAGGCAGCTTCCTATGTCTACTTCTGATACAGCCCATCTCATATGAGACAAAATGAAGCAATGCTAGCATGTTCAGTATAAACTTAGGGGAGAAAGTTAACCAATGAAATTAGAAGGTTTCCACCCTCTATAAAGATAATATGTTTTTAAGCAAATCTCACAGAGCTTCCTTTACCACAGTTCCAATAAACTCAATATTTACACTTAAAAGAAGTAGATCAGCTCCATTGCACCCCATTTGACAAATATTTATCCTTAGGGCTCTTAACTCATGTGTCAGGACTAGGAGGTGCCGACTTTGTACACCTCATGTGGACTGCCGCTGGATCAGTTCTGGAGTTGATTAATGGCTTAAAGACATTCATACTAAGGGAGAACTGATTATGGCTCTGAGTTGTGGTTTAAGGACAACTCTAAGGAACTAAGCCCTGTTTTCTCTTGGCATGAGATTAGAAATTCACACAAAGTTTCCCAGCTGAAGTTATTACACAGGGTAACCTATTGTGTTGCAAGAATAGCAGGAGCAGATCTGAGCCACTCCTGTTCTGAAGAAGGTGCTTTTTTCTTATAAAACTCTCTGGAAGTTACAAAACAATTCTCTCAGTGGCTGAATCTGTCCATTATTGTTTCTCAGTTGTCCAGTCTTAAGTTCAATTCTTCACATTTCCACATCAGTTTGCAATTTTTTTACACATTTTTGTAAAGTATTTTTGCTAATGTAATGGTATTTTCACGAATACAGTCATACCTCGGAAATAAAAAAGAATCCGTTCCAGAAGTTCGTTCGACTTCCAAAACGTTCAACTTCCAAAAACGTGGCTCCTGATTGGCTGCAGGAAGCTCCTGCAGCCAATCAGAAGCTGCAGAAGTCCCGTTGGACGTTTAGCTTCCAAAAGAATGTTCAAAAATTGGAACACTCACTTCCAGTTTTCGATCATTCGGGAGCCGAAACGTTCAACTCCCAAGGCGTTCAGGAGCTGAGGTACGACTGTATATGCTTTTTAGATAAACTTTCCCCTAATACGCACATTTACATACGCATTACTTGTCTGGAGAAACTGCACTGTAAAATTCAGGAAAGTGTGAATTTTGAAGGATTGTTGCCTTTGGTTTTGCACATTGTTTCAGAAAGCGTGGATTCGACAGGTTCACTCTTAAACGACAACCAAATTGGATTTCTGGTCCAGAGCAAGACAGGCAGTGGGCAGGGAGGTAAGGACTGCAGCAGGACTATGGTGCTGGAGGAATGGAGTCAAACTCTTCTCTTTGTATCATTTTCCCTGCTAAAATCTCACCCTTCCAAAGTAACAACAAAAAATCCAGTTACCCATTCAATACTTCGGTGTTTTGCCTGACAAAACAAATGAAGCAGCATTTTAACCAGGAAACCAATCAAGAAGAAAGGCTTAATTCCCTTCCCCCAGGACCATGATGGTCTCACTCTTAAGTCCCCCTCTCCACCAGTGGGCTGCTAATTTGACTTTTACAGACTACAGCAAATCCTGATGATGGATCTCCTGCTTCAAATCGAATGTGGTTCTTATGCACCAATGCATCAAATCTTGGGGAGAACCAATTGTGCATTTTATAATAAGAAATTCGTAAGCTATTGCCTCTTTTTATATTTTGTAGTTTGCAAATGAAGCTTACAAAGCGACTTCCTAGAAGACTGGAACAAAGCGGTATTTGGGATATTTATGGGTGCACGTCAGCCTCGCTATGGTGTTCTTAATAACATGTTGCTAGGCTTGTTCTACAGTAACATGAAACATTTGCATCATTGCCTGACTCTTGCATTGCCCAACCTCAAGTAACAACAGTCAAGACAGCTAAGTCAAACACATGGAATGTGGATCACCATCATGAGACATGCAAAACACCACCAGCAGTACATACATTTTAATTATCTATTACCAGCCCCCCTAGGCTTGTTCTTTTAATCACGTATTTCAACTTTACCAACAACTTGCTATGCATCTTCCAGACAAGAGTGTTGCTACATTTTCTGAGCAAATATCAACTAATAATATTTGGTGGAATGAAAAATAAATTGTTGGAAAATATCCCCATTGCAAATGTGATTATTTTCTAATAACCTAAAGGACTTCAAATATCTAAAGGGCTGTCACATGGAAGATGAGGCAAGCTTGTTTTCTCCTGCTCTGGAAGCTAGGACCCAAACCAATGGATTCAAGTAACAAGAAAGGAGATTCGAACTTAAACAACAGAAAGACCTTTTTTGATAGTAAGAGATGTTCGGCAGTGGAACGGACTCCCATGAGAGGTGGTAGACTCTCCTTCCTTGCCTTGGAGGTTGTTAAGCAGAGATTGGATGGCCATCTGTCATGGATGCTTTAGTTGAGGTTCCTGCATTGCATGAGGTTGGACTAGTTGACCCTCGGGATCCCATGCAACTCTACAATTCCATGATTCTATGATCTGGATGTCATGGACATCTACCACATATAGGTTGATATAATTAGTGACAACAATCCTTCTAAGCCTGTGCCACTCTATGAAAATTTATTTTTCTGGATTACTTTATTTATTTAGTAAATAGCCTCAAAAGGGTATCCAAGTTTGGGCTTTGTAGCCTCAAGAGGCTATTCAAGTGGCTTACAAAAGATTTACACAATGCAATTATATTCAAAGGGTGAGGACCACTTGTGCTGAATTGCTTGTGCAATTGATTTCTGCTTGTACAAAAATCCCCTTGAGCACTTGAGAAGCCTCTGCAGCAGGCTGAGGACAAGCAGGGACTGCAGAGGGAAGGAGGAATGAGAATGGGGAGAGTGGGGTTATTGGTTTGTGGCAGTTTTGTTGTTCTTATGTATCTTGTGTTTTTACCTTATATTTTAATGTTGATAACCACCCTGAGGTCTATTGATGAAGAGCAGTAAACAAACAAACAAATGTCTCCATGATTGCCACAATCCCTGAATCCAACAACAATCAAGACACAGAGCTGGAGGCTGCAGAGGCATCAGCTAAGAAGCCAGATCACATTCAGAGCTCTGAGCTAACTGCTGGAGATCCAGGGAACTCTGTAATTGAGGGTGGCAGATAGAAATCCCCAGAGGAATTAGCAGGACCAAATCCTGGACGGGTGCCTTCCCAGAGGAACCAGATGCCTCCCATTACACCAGTCCAGCAACTAGCCTTGTGCAGAGCTTGTCTGAGGTCCAGGGCCAGAGTCTTGTTCTAGGCATGACAGCGTAAGTCCGGCAGGCCCCTGGCTGGGGCCCCCAAACAGCTTAGCCTTCCAAGGCATGAGGCAAGTGTGCCCAGCTGCTCCACCACTCTGCACAAGCTTCCCAGAGACACAAGGAGGACATCAGTAGGGAGGCTAGGGAATGGAGGAGGAATGGCCGCCTCCAGGCCCAGGCCCTTTAAGCCTCTGAAGTTCTCCATGAGACAGTGGAGCCTAGAGGAAGTAGTCTGTTTTCTCAGAGTTATTTATGGTTCTGCAACTTTTGAGGATAGGGAGGGAGAGGGTATGTGTGTGGAACCTAGCCTATTGTACAAAAGTAAAATTCACAGTCGCTGCTCTGGTCCACTTTTGTGGTCCTAGGTTTCCCACCCCAGCCCTATAGTTAACATTTCAACTCAAAGGTTTCTTTAATCTGCAATGTGTTTTTAAGCAGTTTCTCATCACAAAATTATTATCCCCATGTTCCTCTTTCTATTACACATGGAAGCATATTGTGCTTGTGGAAGCATCACACAAAGCCTAATGGGCCAAGGTTTGATAGATTATGTGGAAAGCTGTAGAAAAACCAGTGTTTATATATTATTGAGTTCTGGAAGACGACTATGTCTGCATAACTTTAAAGGCTGTTCCAACAACAAAACTGCAGGTGCCAACTTTGCCTTTGTTCCCTGGCTCCCTTTCTGTAAGTACAACAAAAGTTTTCTTATCTACAGCTCACACATCAGGGTAAATTTCCTTGACCCACTTCCTAGCTAAAAGCCTTTGTGAAATCTCTGCGTTTTTATATTCTTGTTTCACAAAACAACGGTACAGTCAAACATTGCTTTGATAGCAGTCTAAATTAAAGCACTCTTGGTCAAGATAAGGCAGCGTATTGGGCGATTGTTATTGTTACTTTTCGTTTACCGGTACATAATCAAGAATAAATCTTAGGTTTTCAGTGTTGCTTGTATGCTGTCTGAATCCATTCAACTGCCCTGGTCTTTGCTTTGCAATTATGCCATGATCTACCAAGCATGCCCACAACATGGTCTTCAAACAATTCTATTGTCACCAGACTATTTCACCACCACAAGCTGCTCTCATTTCATTGATGTTGCAGTACTATACCCATTTACCCATTGTACTCATAGTTTTGAGTAGAAGTGCATAGGATTGCATTGTAAGACTGTGGTCAAAAGAGATATTTGAGAATCAAGGCTTCCCGATAGAATTCACCAGCCACAAACATCTACAGGCTAACTGTTTCACCCAGGTAACCATAACCAATGGAAGCACATAGCTTTTGTGGTTAGCTTGGAAGATCAGCCTATCTGTGCAAGAGATTGCATTCGCTGACGTGGGTGGCAGCTTTGCAACTGCCCTTCATCCTCATCCTCTCCCTCCCTCCTGCCACTGTTGACCTCTAACTCCACATTGGGCAAAAGATTCCTGCATTGCAAGAGGTTGCACTAGACAATCCTTGTGGTACCTTCCAATTCTACAATTCTATGATTCTATGACAACAGATGTTTAGATTGCTTCATGCCAGTTTCTGATGTAGCAATGCTTATTCAGAAGTGAAACCCCACAGAGTTCAATGAGGTTAATTCCAAAGAAACTACAATATGTAGTGGCCTGCCCAAGTTCCCTTTATACTGAAGGTTGAAAGGGGAGCACTCTCACAAACCAGAAAGCCATTCTTCCAAAGTACTGTTATATAAATCTCAAACACACCTACATGACTTCATCCAGCTATTTTTATTGGCTAGCTAGGGTGGGTCTACAGATGCAGGCAAACGAAACACTGAAATTACTGTGTACAGTTCTAATTCTAACTTAGATTCTAGCCAAACAATGAAGACCAACAACAAATCTAAGAATATACTTCAGCACAGACCACACAATCATCTTCCGTTTATTTTTGTAACAGTTTATGCAGCAACAAAAAAAAAAATCCTGGTTGCACAATACCGTACAATTACGGTAGATACAATAAAAAAGTCACTAATCTGCAATATTTCGTACATCTAGAACTACTCATAGTGATGGAATATTTTAGAAACTTAAAACAATTATATATGATAGTCACAAATGAGCTCTAGAGCCACTGCAATCTTAGCCTTCAGCCCATTTGTATAGGGTGATGTGCAATTCAAAGGATATTTACTCAGAAGGAAGTCCTGCTACATATAATGAAATTTACTCTCTGGCAAGTGTGTTCAGGATTACAGCCCAAATACAGGACTAACAACCCAAAATCTAGAAGTGGTGTGGTCCCTTATACAGTGGTACCTCGGGTTAAGTACTTAATTCGTTCCGAAGGTCTGTGCTTAACCTGAAACTGTTCTTAACCTGAAGCACCACTTTAGCTAATGGGGCCTCCTGCTGCTGCCGCGCCGCCAGAGCACGATTTCTGTTCTCATCCTGAAGCAAAGTTCTTAACCTGAAGCACTATTTCTGGGTTAGCAGAGTCTGTAACCTGAAGCGTATGTAACCTGAAGCGCCTGTAACCTGAGGTACCACTGTAATACATATTGCAAGGTATCATTTTTTTGATACAAAAGTATCTTTAAAACAATCTGCTCCTGCGGACTTCTGAAAACTAATTTTAATGATTATTCTTGTTGTATATTTACTTATTAAACTAACAAAGATCAAAGTAACAAACTTTCTAGTGGGTATAAAGTTCACATTGTGATGCAGTGTGATTGGGAAATAAGAGGCTGTATACAAAGATAGCATCATATAGACACAGTTTGGGGGGTCATTAATGTGGAAATGGGTTCTCTATCTAGGAAATGGGTGTGAGAGCAGCATAGGTAGAATTTCTAGGGAGCAAGCATCCTAGCTTGGCAACAGGAAAGGACATCACTTTCGTATAGGAAATAATATGTGTCTACATCCTGCACTCAGTTGTCACGTGGTATGATTGCAAAGAAGAATGGGAAGGAGCTTGTACTGGATACAGTCACAGGGAGCAACAGCCAATTATGCCTTCTGAGTCAAAACCCAATGCACTATTTAGTTACTAAGATGCATACCCCACCTTTCAAGGCAAAACAACTCCTCTCCAAGACCGCTTACAAAAACAAAATAAAACAAAGATTTAAATTGCAACATTCCAAAAACCAAGTAATACGCAGTAGCAGCAGCATAGATCAACATAAACAGAAAAATGTAAAAGACAGATACAAGTGCGAAATTATTTAGCACATACTAATTTAGAGAGCTGTTTTGGACGACAACTCCCATCGGATCCAGGCAGCATAGAAATGGTCAGGAATGACAGGACGTGTAGTCCAGAACTTCAAGAGGGAACCAGGTTGAGGAAGGTTCCTTTAAAGAATGCTATACATTCCAGTAACCCAGCTGAAACTGCCTCTGGTGCAATACACTTTATGACACAGCTGCCTTCTTCGGTCTCTCCACTCCACACACAACAGAATCGACAATTACATTCCTAAAGGGTGGGAAGCGAGAGAACCGCAACCGCCAAAGCGACAATGTTTGGGGCGAAAGCAGCGGGTAGTCCGACGCGAAAGCGTTTGCGCTCTGCACATGTTCAGAGGCACCGCTTCCTAAAAGCGCCTCCCCCACAAAGTTTGACCAACTTGACCCTGAAATCGTGCCTTTTAAGGCCTGAGCCGGTCCAAAGCTCACCTCGCTTGTCTCGGGTGCCGTGTTTCTTGGCCAGCGCCAGCTCCTTTTGGATCCTCGCCTCCAGATACTCCTGCTTCTTGGTCAGCATCTCCTCGGTCTCCCGCAGCCGGGCTAAAGCTTCCTGCGGGCTCGGGCCCCCTTTGCCTTTCCCCTTGGCGCCTCCTCCGCCCTTGAAAAACTTGTGGATCTTGCTCATCTTCGCCCCGCCGAGGACCAGCCGCCTTTGCCAGGGATACGATCGCGCCTCCTCGACGCCCCCAACTCCCTAGAGCTCTTCCCTAGAAAACAAGCCCAGAGACGCGCCAGAGAAGCGCCAGGAGGGGAAGGAAGTGGCTGCTGTTGCGGCGGCTCCCGAGGCCGACGGCCGAGCCACGTGACCCACACGTACCTGCGACAGGTGTTGCCACCTGGGGAACGTGCGGCGCCAGCGGAGAGGCTCTTCTCAAACGGGAGCCCCAGCAGGAAGAACCAGCCAAGCCGTGGGACAGCCGCTGCACTCTGCACATGCTCGCCAGCGCCCTCGTTCTCATTCCTTCCCTGCATTCCTGGGTTGAGCACTGATTCGTTTGGGGCTTTATCAGGTGTCAAAGAAATAAACTATCTGACGTTTAGAAGACATCTGAAGGCAGCCCTGTTTCGGGAAGGTTTTTAATGACTGATGTTTTAATGTATTTTTAATCTTTTGTTGGAAGCCGCCCAGAGTGGCTGGGGAAACCCAACCAGATGGGTGGGGTATAAATAACTACTTCTTCTTCTTCTTCTTCTTCTTCGTGGTACCTCTGGTTGCGAACGGGATCCGTTATGGAGGCCCATTTGCAACATGAAAAGAGCGCAACCTGAAGCGCCGTATGCACAGGTGCGCGGCATGATTTGGTGTTTGTGCGCATGCGCGACGTGCGATTTAGCACTTTTGCGCATGCGTGAGCGGTGAAACCCAGAAGTAACCCTTTCCGGTACTTTCAGGTCGCAGCGGGACGTAACCTGAAAGAACGTAACATGAAGCGGATGTAACATGAGGTATGACTGTATTATTATATCAGAGCAGGGTTGAAAATTTGGGAAACCTTAAGACCCTCGTGGTACCTAAATGCAAATACTGTAAGACTATTCTTATTAGCCTGGATAGCTGGTTAGAGTGTGGTGCTGATAATGACAAGGTTGTAGGTTCAATCCCCATATGGGACAACTGCATATTCCTGCACTGCAAGGGGTTGGACTAGATGATCCTCAGGGTTCCTCCCAACTCTATGATTCTATGATAAGCTTTCATGGGCTGCCGTCCATCAGAATCAAGGCTGGTCAACGTTACTCGCATTTTACGGATTTTTAGGGTTTGACCCCACCCAACCCCCAAATTGTTGCATTAGGGAGGATCTGGATTCGGGAACCCAAGGTGGAAATCCAGCAGGATGGTTTAATATTGCTTTATACGGAACACCTAGTTTACGCGATTCTTGCTTCATTGAGGGGGTACAATGAATTCAGCGCTATGTTTAAAAAAACTGAAAATAAACGTAAATATCCAGCAATATTAACGATACCAAGACATGGGGAGCTAAGCATTCGTGCCATGACATCTTGCTTTAGTCATAAAGCTTACAATAGGCATGACTACCAAACAGCGTGCCTTGATTAATCCTTCGCTTTACATGTATAGATTCAAAAACCAAAGAGATCCCTAGGCAATTAATGTGTCATTTTAAATTGTAATGGCAAGGAAGATTCCTACTGATCAATGGTGGTCATGAGAGCAGTTATGTCATGAACCCCACATGAGTCACCACCTGTACCTGCAATGATTGACAGCACAGTGCAAAGTATGCCTGCTCAGAAGTAATCCCTCACATCTAGTGAGGTTTAAGGTAGACTCTAAGTTATAGTTAAACTGGAAGCAACCCTCACTGACATAATTGGGCTCTTACTCTCTACAAAACTGATTTAATGCCTAATAATGCAACTCTAGACTTAGAGGTAAAGCCCATTAAGTTTACTCCTGGGTAAGTGATACAGTAGTAATTTATACTGTCTAGGTGAGTGGGAAAGCTCTAGGATTTCTATTTATGACTTTTGTATGTCTCTGGATTTTTTTTAAGGTCTCTGGAAGTTTTTAAGAACTTTAAAACAAAATAAAAAGTAGAATATAAAACAATGTTTTAAAAAATTGCGGCTGCAAATCTACGCACGTTTACCTGGGAGTAAGTCCCATGGAAACGGGCAAGACTTAAATAGGAGTAAATGGGCTGCACACGCACAAAAAACGCTACATCAGAAAGGGGGCAGACGTCACGTGACAGCGGGTAGGCGCTGCTCCTACGCAGAGCCCGGCCCACCTATCTCTCAAGCTCCGCCCCTTAGATGACGACCAATGTCATTTGGAACGCCGCGGCTCGGTAGGAGGAGCCGATTTTACCCTTTTACAGCCGCCGGAACATGGTGGCGGCGCGCGCATGCGCCGTGCAGCAACATGGCGGAATTGGAGATTGGACAGCACTGTGAAGTGGAGGACTGCGGGCAGCTTGGTAAGGAGCCCTTGAGCGGCAGGGCAGACCATGGGACTCTCCGTGGCGGGGGAGGGGGAAGTGCATCTTCATGGTACCACTTCTGGGTCTCAGGTTTCAGCTCTGAGGGGCGAGTTGGAATTGGACGAAGAAGCACCACCATGGAGATTCGAGGGTAGAGCGGCTTACTGCGCCTGCCCTTCCGGAAGTGTAGCCTAATGTACTGTTCTGCAGCTTTTTGCTTCTATGGGTGTGGAAGGCAAAGGGGAGGAGATAGTGGACAGTAACCAAATTAAGGGGCGTGGCTCTTTCCAGAAGTGGGCGTGGACTGTTGCTTGGTAGCCAGTGGTGTTTAGCCAGGACTCTGGTTATCACTGAAGGCAAAAAGGTGTTTATCCTGTGGCCGATTTGCTTAGATAGAAAAGGGCATGCGCTAGAGCTCACGTCTGCCAGGCCAAGTGTGTGTGTATATGTGTAGGAGAGTAGTTATCTTTTATTTAAGTTTTATTTTATGGTCTTATCACAAAACGTAGCTTGCACTCAATATAAAACCCTTTAATCAAGAACGGCCAGTCCTAGTGCTTTATTAAAGGAAGTTGGAGACTTACAGCAAATCAGTCCGCCAGTTCTTCTGGCCTTTGCAGATGCAGGACGGACTTCGCAGCAAGGAGATGGCTAGTCCGCGCCCGAGCAAAAGTTATACATTCTTTATACACAAAGCAGCATGTGTCATTTCGCTTGACCCAAACCTTACAGATAGCTCCCCTTTCTGGGCTCAGAGCCCAGCACTCCAAGCCCACAGATAAAGATAACAGCAAAGGCAGCCAATTAGCTTATATAAAAGCAAGCGAATGTAAACATATATGAGCTCATTGCTACGACAACTTCCAGTTAACTCTGGGGTTATCATGACTACCAAGATGGCATCAGCAAAGCTTCCAGAACAGTTCAGCACAGGTGCTTCGGTTCAGCACAGGTGTTGATTGACATATGAGATTATCTGTCTTATTTTTGTCACTGTCTTATTATTGCACCTGTAAAATATATATATATATATATATATATATATATATATATATATGAATTCATTTAAATCACTTCTACAATGCTTTACATTTCCAAAGACAGCTCTCTACAACCTCTCTTAAAAGATCAAATGAAATATTACAAAATACCCACACACAAAAATTACAAATGAAAGTGAGATACAATAAAGATTTGTGTTTAAAACAACACGAGTAACCTAAACAGAAAAGTAAAAATATCAAAAATTCATTTGAGTGTTATCTTTTTCATTTTAGATTTTCTCCCTTTTGTCTGTGATGGCTGCTCAGGAGTCTTCTGGTAAGAAAGAATTTATGCTACAATCCTGACTCCCCAGATATACAACATCCTAATCTCTCCCTGCAGGAATATCCTTCCCTGCACTTTAAACTCACATAGATGACTTGACCCAGGCATAATTATTTATGGGTGCTGAGGGATAGCCCTGCTGGCTTAAGTCAAAACAGCAAAAGCAGTGTCAGAGTAAATGCCCCAAAGGGCATGTCAAGGGTGAGAATGGGAGTGGTGTGAGAAGAATAGACAAAGTTGCACTGCATCCTAACTCACTTTGTTCACTGGTCCTGCCCACAAAGCTCAGTATAACATATCAAAAAATGCAGGTGTAACTAAATTCACCCCATGGGAGACAATGGAAGGTCAGAAAATGAAAGCTTACACTGTCACCCACAATCTGGTCTTGATCCACTGGCCAGGAGCAGTTAGGATGCAGGAGATGCACTGACTTAACTGCCTTCTGGAATATCTGTCTGTTTAGGATTGCTCTGCTCTTCTTATTTGTATAGCACCATTGTGGCACTTAAAAGAAACAAAAGAACAGTAATATATATGAAATAGTCCCAACCCTGAGGAAGTTAAAATCTGTAGTTGAATCAGAGATGGAGAACCTGTCACCCTTGAGATGCTGTTAGATTCTCAGCTCCCATCAGCCCAGCCAAAATGACCTCTGGTCAGGGCTGGTAGAAGTTATAATCTAGTTATATCTGGAAGGCTACAAGTTCACCATCCCTGATTCAGACATTTGGATGGATGGGCTGCGAAACAACATAGCTAACAAATAAACAGAGAGAAGAGAGGAATGAGCAAAAATATGCTTTGTTCAATTGAAGCTGTAGCGTTCTTGATTAGTTTTGCTGAGATAACTTTTCAGAAAAAATGTGCCAAGTCTTTTTTTGTTCTCCTGTTAATTCACAAACTAATGATATGTTGGTCTTTATTTATTTGTAATTTTAAGTCTTCAGCACAGAAGTCGGGCTGCTCATGGTTGTTCTGAGGTAAGTTGATAATTTTTATCATCTGTAGCATTCAACACCTCTGGAATATTTTAATTAACAGTCCCTTAAGCTCATTCTGAATAATTTTGCAAGCAATTCTTTGTAAATTTTCGTTCAGCAATTCATATGATCTTTTTGCCAAATTATGTTTTAATTGTATGCTTGTAGATCACCTTGAGACTTAGGTAAATGGATTGGCTTAGCACATGATCCAAACCAGAGTTCATGGTTTAGCTCTCCCAGATAAACCACAAGCCATAATGCACAAGACAAACATTGGTTACAACTTGTGGTTCATCTGAAAACAGCTAACCGCAAACCCGGGTTCAGATGGCATGCTAAGGCAAACATGGCTTAGCTAAGTGCAGGGCAGCACCAAAATAACTGTGTTGGAACAAAGCAGCTGTGATCTCTTCCAGAGTCTGCAAGCTCTCATGTTCACGTTGACTCATAATATGTCTTAGCATGTCATGCAAACCAGACCATTCTCTGCCTTTTCCCCCTAGGTTGCTTAGAGAGTATTTATTATTTACCTTAATTTGTGAATTAGTTGCTTTTAGTTGCTGTTATTCTTTTATGGTGTCCTTCTTCCTGCTTATAAGTTACTGATAAATCATAGGCATATAGTGAGCATGAGCACTTACATATTTTAGATTAATGGCTTCTATTAGTTTATTAGGAGTAACTTCCTGGACATGTTTTATTCTACTCAATCTCTTTCCACCTGGCATTTGGCAAAAGTGGTCTTATATTAAGAACATAATATCTTCTCTCTTTATTAAGAGAGAGCTACTAAATAGCTGTGATGTATGATGGAGAAAATGCCCAGTTATGTTTCAATTGAATTCAGGATGTGTATTTGTAAGTAACATGAATTTCCTTTGAAATTGTCTTAGGCAAATCTAAAAAGTGGGGAGGTGAAACCAGATCACCACAAATCTTTCTTGTGCACATATAAAGGTTGTGATGGAAAAGAACTTGTTCCTGTGTTGTGCCCTTCCTGTGGAAAGCAGTTTTGCTTTCGGTGAGCAAATTAATTAATCTAAGCAACCTCACTCCTCGTTTTTCATTAGCTTGTAGACTAACTACTGAGAGTTTCTTCATCTATTGTTTTCAGTCACCGCCATGAACCGGACCATGAATGTGAAAAATTGGAAATCCCTAAACCTCGCATGGCTGTTACCCAGCAGCTTGTTAAAGATATTGTAGGTAGGTACAGTAAGACTTGCTAAAAATACAGTTTTCTGCTGCAGAATGTATGTGACTGTATGTAGACTCCTCCTTTCCTGGTGTGGGGACATATTGAAGAAACAGGGTAGCATTGGAGCCAGTAGATAAAGCACCCCTGGAATGCCCCGTTTTACTTTTATTGCTATTGGAACACTGACAGCACAGGTTTCTACACCCACGGTGGTAAGACTTCTTAGGGCAGGCTTCCTTTGCTCACGGACCTCCCTCTCCATGGCCGAGGTCCCTAGGATGTCTTTTCAGGGGCCATAGGATTGTGCCCTTAATAAGGTTTCTGATACAGAAAGAGAATAAGAGAGGCTAAGTTTTTCATATTTCATATTGTGTCCTGGAAGTTGCAGGACCCAGCCTTACTTTCATCTCCTTGCTACAATTCCTAAAAGTAATTGACTTGTCCTGTTTTTCTGTGTTCTTGAGCTATGTCTGGGTCTACATCCTATGAGAGTTAAGTGGAAATCCTATGCAGGAATAAGTCGTTCTGTGCTAGCAAGATATAATGAAGGAGTGGAACCACTTTCATTCCCACAAGTTCTCAACTGTAATTGAGCAGTAATTTTTTTATTGCGTGAAACCATCCCTGAGACAGGCTTGTGGGATCAAGTTGGTTCCTTCGTATCTGAGCTCCCCTGAACATCTTCAGTTCTATATATTGGTGTGGCCCATTCTCAGTGACACATGTTGATTACTGGCAAGCATACAGTACTCAGAGGTCGGAGAAAAGGTTCCATCCTATGTACTCAAACAAGAGAAGGCTGCACGTTGTTCCAGTGCACCCGTTCTGAAGAAGCTTTAACATTCATGCTGGTGCATATTTCATTTTTAGCAAAATGAGAGGGACTGGTGATAGCTACTAAAATGAGTCCATGCATAAATCTCAGATTCTAAGAAAGAAGCCACAGTGAGTAAAAGAGGCAGAGGAGCAAAGAACAGCGAAACAGCAGCAAAGGTGGCCCTAATGAAACTGAAAATGCATGCATCTGGGGATAAGTCCTTGGTGCAGGTAAGTCACGTTCATTTGTCTCTAAACACCATACCTATTTGTAGTTACTCCCATATTTAGTGAAGCAAAAGTGATCTCTGTACTTCTGCTATTGTGTTTGTTCAGGGTTTTCTAAAGTGGAATGCAAGTGTAGGAGAGTGTTGTCTACTACACTGTCCTTGTAGAGCAATTTAAATAACTGCAGGACCTGAAGGAAAGAGCAATGAAGCCCCATTAGTAAAATCTTCTTCCCACAGGGACTGTACATGCAGCAACTTTGTATATTAAACTCTGTACAAATGTAAAATATGGTATAGGATGGAAACACCTGGAATTGTGGGGAGAGTGAGGTAAGTAGATTCTAGATTGCTGCTGGATAGTTTTAGTGAATTTGTATCCTTGTCAACTGAGGTCCTCAAAACTCTCAATGATATTTAACTAATATTTGTATTTTATTTTTATTTATCAAATTTGCAAACCGCTCCACCCCTACCTTTTTTTTTAGTTTCAATCTTTACTGAAAGTTCAAAAGGTACATAACCATACATGTACCAACATGGTAAGACACAAAAAGAGAGAGAGAGAGAGAGAGAGAGAAAGAACCCGTGCAGAAGGGAAAACAAAAGGGGGTGGGGACCCAAAACTGTATATTTTACAAGTTTGTTATTGTACTTCACCAGATCTTAACCTATTACAGTATTTGTAAGAATGGATTCCAAATATCATTGAACTTGTCCATGGCAAGTCTCCGTTTATATGCAAGTTGTTCATGTGTTGCAAGTTTGTGTAAGTCTTCGATCCAATTGTAGAAGGGAGCCACATTTTTATTTTTCTTATTCATTAGTATCAGTCTTTTTGTTATGGTAAGGGCACGGAGAGTCCATTTGTATTGTCCTTTTGTGAGGTTCCATGTGCTGGGTTCAAGAGGATATTTTGCTCTGTAAATGTAAGGTCGTTCCGTACAGTTCTGTTGATGGTTAGTTACCTTCTGCCAAAAGTCTTTCCATATCGGACAATGAAAAAAACACGTTTTAGAGAAGCATTATCCCTATTAACCCACCCCTATACCTGTAGATCTCAGGGTGGTTCACAACATAAAATCACAATATAAAAAAACAGAAAATACATAATAAAAACAAAAACATCCCAATAACCCCCTCTTTCTACAACACATTTTTAAAGCTAATAAAAATGAAATGAAACCATCCCAGCTAGAGCAAGAGTAGGGACCTGATGTTTTCTTTGCCTGCCTGTCTCATGAACAGCTGGTGGTAGTGGCATTGGGGAGGGGACATTCTGTGTATGTTGTTTTTTACAATTGGAGGATATGTTGTTGTTTTTTAACCTTTTCTCTCTGGTTTACCTGGCCCTGAGACTTTGTAGAGTTCCTTTCTGAGGAGTATGTTCCTTTCTAAAGGCACATCAATGCCATTTTCTATTGCAGACAGAGAGAATCTACTTCCAAGTGTTTTTACCTAAAGAAAGTAAGGAGAAAAGCAAACCCATGTTCTTTAGTAGTAACTGGAGCATTGGTAAAGTGATAGATTTTGCCGCTACCTTAGCAAACCTTAAGAATGAGAACAACAAAACCACAGCTAAGGTAAATCAACTACAGCAACTATTTTTTATCGTTCAAATATTTTTAATTTCCTTAGAGAGCTGTGAAATAACAACAGGGTATCCCCCCCCCCTTTTCTCTGGATTTTCAGAAATTACGACTCTGCCACCCGGCATCTGGAGAAGCTTTGCCTTTGGACCAGACACTAGCATCTTGGATAAGCAGCAGAGAATCCCCACTAAATAATGGTGGAAATGTGATCTTGGAATATCTTGATAATGAAGTCCAATTTCTAGAAAATGCAACTTCATATATAGAGTAGTCGTGAAAAACACTCTGCATGTGATTGCCAGGCCTAACAAAAGACTGAGTCTGTTTATAATTTCATCATGTGTTATTTTTATCACCTACATGAAGAAATTTAATAAATTCTGATTTATGTCCATTTCAAAGTAGTCCAAGGAATTACTCATAAATGCACGCTCCTCAGTTGATGCGTTTTAGGGCAATGGGAGAAGTAGAGCTTGTGCAAGCCCCGCCCCCAATTGAATTATAATACTGAAATGATCGTTGATTGTCAAAGGAATCCTTTAATTACAGCTGTTATGTCACTGGCAGCACATTCGGATCTTGAGATTCTCGCTAAAAGCAAAGAGAATGTCATAAGAGTCAAGTTTTCACACCAGTGCCACAAACAGCTACACACACACCCTCCCCCACACAATCGCCTTTGGCTGCACTCCAGGTGCAGCTGATATTTGTCCATAGCTGTCAACCTTCCCTTTTTTGGCGGGAAATTCCCTTATTCCAGCTGCTATCCTGGATTGTTAGATATCCCGTTGACTGTCCCCGGGACAGGTGAGGCTGCTGATCCCTTATTCTTGAGGCTGCTGATCCCTTATTTTCAAATTTGATCCCTTATTTTCGAGGCTGCTGATCCCTTATTTTCAAATCTGAAAGTTGACAGCTATGTGTTTGTCTCGCTTTCCCTCCCAGCTGGCGTCTAAACACGTACTCTATAAGCTCCCGCCCCCAAGAAACATCAGAACGCGCAAGGGCCAATAGGATGCCTCGGCTTGTATGGCGCTAGCCAGCTTGTTATTAACGCCGGCACAAGCACCGTGATGGGACCAATGGGCTGGCTTCCTTGCTTGCTGCGTGATTCTCATTCCCTGTCCCCCCACTCTCTGTGTGTTAACTCCTTCCTTTCCTTCCTTGCTCCATGATTCTTCTTCCCTGCTTCTTTCTCCCCCCCCCCCGCCTCCCTCAGGCAGCATCCCATTCCACCCTACTGCCAGCGCTGAGTGCAGCAGAGGCGGCAGGGCAGCATCTCCCTCACGTCCCCCCAGGAGCGCTGCGATCGACCATAATCGGTCTCAGGTTCCCCCAGTCATCGCGATCGACGTATATATGCAGCGTTGGGGTCACACAACAAAGCGGTTGCCGAAGTGAGCTGCAAACGTGCCATCAGTAATAACTTTAAAAGACAGAATAAAACTTAACCAGCTAAGCATCACATAGCCTTTTGGAACCTGGTGTGCCATATCTGCCTGCCCTCCCATTCAAGAGAATAATAAATACCAGACACCTCACGAAAAGAACCCACCCCGCCCCAAACATGTCAAGAAAGCCTTGCAAGACAAAAGGGAATTAAAGCAGGAAGCTCCCTTTGAAGGGCACCCGCCCGTCGCAAGCCGCTGTCGCGCGCGCGCGCATGTGTGTCCCCGTCCCCTCCAAATGCCGCTGAACCTCAACTCCCATAAGCCTTAGCGAGCCCGGAGCATGTTGGGAGTTGTAGTCCAGCATCATCTGAACCCGGGCTACCTCCAACAGCGGTTCTCAACCTGTGGGTCTCCAGATGATGTTGGACTACAACTCCCATAATCCCTGAGCTCTGGCCTTGCTAGCTAGGGGTGATGGGAGTTGTAGTTCAACAACATCTGGGGACCCACAGCTTGAGAAAGGCTGCTCCAGAACAACCACAGTGTCTTTCTACCACTCTCATCTATTTCTAGTTATTTAAAAAAAAACCCGTCGTCGGACTGCAATGCTCTCTGCACATGCTCAGGGGCATTTGCCAACGATAACTGTGTATCTATCTGACGGGAACTGTGTATCTATCTGAAGGGAAAGGTCGCCACTGCTTTAGAAGAGGCCTCCCTTTTTCATAAGTGCGAGTCGGGCAAGCAGCCAACCATCTGAGTCCCCAAGGGGTCTGCCGCCCGAGCCAGGAGGCTGCCCGGTGCTTGCCTGCCTGCCTGCCTTTCCGCCCCTAGGGAAAGGAGAGCCACCCGCCCCTGCGCCTCTCCAGAGGCATCCCAGTGTTGCCAGGACGACCGTGGGATGCCGGCGAGCCCCTTCCTTCCGCTTTTAGCCGCGCCCCTTGGAAAACAAAAAAATACCGGCGGCTGCCTAAGAAAGAAAGAGGCGAGGAAGGAAGCACATAACGGAGAGAGGTGCAAAGGTCATCATTTTCCTCCCACGGAGGTTTTCGCCCGCCGGCTTTGTAGATTTCCGTTTGAGGAGTTTGATCTGAGCAGTGCTTCGATTTGCTGACGGTAAGCCCGGGCCTGGCGGGGCTTCTCTTCAATGCATTTCCATGAGTTCCGGGGCAGCCATTGTTTACTTTTACCCCCCCGTTATTTCTGCTGCCTTCCTCCCCTACTTCGCGATGAGAATCTGCTCTGCAAGCACTCATGGGGTCTGCACCCCACCCACAACTATATACATAGCGGGGCTGGGCCGTAGCTAAGATTAAGCCCCAGGATCAGCATCTAAACTGAAAAACCGGGTGTTGTTGTTTTTTTGTTTAGGGGGCAGCTAAATACAACTCCTCTCCTTCCTTGTCAGGCATTCCTGTTAAAGCATGCAAAACTCAGAGGAATCCATGTTTTGTGAAATTTAGACCCCCAACAATATGCAGCCTTTTTATATAGCACTGAAATAACAGATAAATGAAAAGTGTAGCCCTCCAAATGCTATTGGATTAACTTCTCCATCATCCCTGGCTATTGGCCACGTTTGACTGGAGCTGATGAAAGAGGTGTTATGTGGGAGCACTGAGGTTTTATTTTTATTTCTATAATAATTTAATGCAGGGTTGATGTGAAATGTGTTGCTTATTATGTTAGAACTGTGTTGCTTATTACATTAGAAATTATTATTCATTGGACATCCTTGATGGTCACGGCTTTCTTCCACACAATGCTCAGTATTGTTATGGGAATGCTTAGTTGAATGGAGAAAGTCACATTTCCCTAGAAGCAAAACTCCTGTTTTAAGTGCTAGGAAAGTGCAACATCTACACAATACATTTGCTGGATCTTTCACAACAGCTAAATGTTAACAGCAACCTTGTAGCATATTATGAACAGTTTGTCTGGAAGACTGAAAGATTTGGAAAACATTGCAGAGATGCTATTGTTGGTCATCATGAGTAACAACTTTTCATACATTTGGTCTCTGTTGGTTGATCAACTTTTATATGTGCAGAAACATGCTAAGGGAGCCTACAGTCTGAAATTGCTAATAAGCTATAAGTGATCTTCCCACTGCAAGTTTTCGCATGCTGCACTTATTTATATTTATACACAGCACTCTTATCAGCTTTTATAATCTCTGCAATTGTGTGAACACAATACTTCTACTGCAAATCACTGCCAGTTCTAGTCATCTGTAGCAAAGGCATGTCTCTTGCTTCATTTATGCAGGAGCACAAATTTGCTCAGCATCTGCCTGACATTATGCAGGTTGGTAACATACAGGAAATTGTGTAGTTGCTGTGTAGCCCATATTACAAAATAATGTGTTGCTCCAGACTGAAGAGAAGTTTATTTCCCAGTATTGTGTAGTGTTGCAGCTTTGATACAAAATAATAGTATTGTTTATGTTGAAATAGTTTGAACCTGCAGATTTAGCATTTTAACACATCTTCAGTGTTGTGATGTTTGCTCTTTTGATTAGTATAATTTGGTGGTGTATGTTCTGTTTCCTAGAGAAGGATGGCTGATCCTTGGCAAGAATGCATGGATTATGCAGTTATTTTAGCAAGAAAAGCTGGAGAGGTATGTTTAAGGAAATTTTTTAATGATTGATGTTTTATCATGTTTTTAATATTCTGTTGGGAGCCACCCAGAGTGGGGAAATCCAGCCAGATGGGTGGGGTATAAATAATAATTTATTATTATTATTATATGCTTTGAATTTTTGTAAGCACATAATTATTCTGGAAAATGTATATGTCTTGCTTGTACTTCTGTTTAGTACTTCAGCAGTATAAAATGATGGGGTATTTGCAGAACAAATAAGGAGACCAACTCCATTTTAAAATATAAAAACAAAGGGAAGGTTTAGAAAAGCATGATCAGCCTTGTAAGGAAGTCCAAAAATATGGCAGTCAACAACATGCTCTAATTCCCTTTTGCTAGACATTTTTGGAGAGGAGACAATGATCACAATTGGCTGTCTTCAAGCCTGAGCATGATAGCTGCTTTCAGATGAGCTATTTACTGTGAAATTGCCATTCCCCATCGGCTCACCTTGAGAAGTCATCCATATGACACTGCCATGCATTTGTAATCTTCCCATTGCCCTTGGTGGTTTCTGGCTTTTTTTCTCTTTTTTTGTACCAGAAAGAATCTGATATGTTCTGAAAAGGCTGGAATAGTAGCACTTCGGTGGGGATCGTTCTTTGGAGAGCGCTTTGGATGTGTTAAGTGATATTGATGGGGCAGAGAGAGCATGGCACCTCTCCTCATTTCTGGTGCATAAGTCCCTGAGCTTCTGCCTGTTCCACAAGGGAGGAAATGTTTTTGTGCAGCTGACTGAGTGCATTAATTTGTTTTCAAAAAGTGTCATGCAAATAATTTTCTTTGCAGGTAGTCCGGGAAGCACTAACAAAGGACATAGCTATCATGATTAAAAGCTCTCCAGCAGATCTAGTGACTGTCACTGATCAAAAAGTAGAAAATATGCTTATTTCTTCTATAAAGGAAAAATACCCATCTCACAGGTACAGAATATTTTAGAACTTGATTTTTTATTATCACTGGGGAGAGGAAGGATGTGTCTGAAGTACAGGTATGAAACCTTTGGTCCTAGTGGCTCAAAATAAGCACAGGGAACCTAACAAACTAATAACATAGTTTTTTCTACATTTTAAATTGTGCTTGTCTTGCATAACCTCCATGTATCACACTTCAATTCTAGTTAGGTAAGGATGGGAAAAGGGAGAATAATGGAACCTCCAATACCTGTAGGCAGTAACTAAGGAAGCTTCTTTCAGTTATGGCAAAATGGCAGGATGAAGCAAGGGTGTGGTAGAAGCCAAGAGAAATGAATGACAGGCTATGCAAATATGAAGAGGTGGATCAGAGAGTCAGCATGGTGTTATGGTTGCTGCTTAGGTAGGGGTAGCCCATTTGCCCGGGATGCAGGCAAGCCACGATCATTTGCGGGTGAGCATACAAGTGATTTCAGTTACTGCAGGTCAGCAAGAGTCTTAATTGTAAGATGGTACGCCATGCTGTTAGGCCTATGTGGGAAGATTATGTTTTATTCAAAGTGTTGTGCATGTAGAACGGGTGAGAGGATGCCTGCTGTCTATAGAGACAGAGTTTGCAGATCCTAAAAAAAGTGGGAAGGTCAGATAATATCTAGCTAGGTATGGTTGTGACAGCTTCATAGATCTGGAACATGGATTATAGGTCAGACACGTTTTATCAGTGTGGTACAAAATGAGAAGTGGGCTGCTCCTGTTGGGAGAGATGAAATCACTGTCATGTGGGGAATAGCCAGGCGATGGCAAGTCTGGCAGAGAACAGCAATATGCACATGGGCATCTTGTTTCTCAAGACAGAAGAGCAAGCCTGATCCAAGAGATCAGGACTTCCCAACTGACCTGCTGTGACAAATCTAGCCCTCTTCTTTGGCCAGTGCTTAGGGGAGATACACAGGATGAATCTATTAACTGACACATCCCAGTTCTAGGACTCATTTTAGGTTCAAAGTCTCACATAGGTGCAAAGGAAGGATGCAAAATACCAGTGGTGGCAGAAGGGGCTCTCTCTACTTTAGCAAGTTCTGCTGGGTTATATGGGGAGATCCAATATAGTGGAGCTTTCCAGTGCAACCTCATTGCTTACCAAGCATTTATAACAGATATGTAGCAGAAAGCATTGTATCATACAACACATAACTACTTTGTGGAATTCACTCCCACAAGATATTGTAATGATCTCTGGCTTATGTGACATGAAAAGGAGATCACAAAAAGACATGAAAGATGGAGTTTTGTAGACACACCAGGACAGAGGCAGTAGTGGGGAAGGTTGTTGCATTCCTGTCCTCTTTGTGAGCTGTCCAGAGTCATCAACAGACCACTGTGGGCTGCCAGGACTACATCCTGCCTAGTCTAGTAAGCTGAAATAAATACGACCAGGCTCCTTATATTTCCTGTGCATAAAATGAATCTGTACCATGGAGAATGGGATGTTCCATAAATGATTTGTTGGATGAATGATCATTTTTGAAGTTGTGACATTTTAAGATCTATATGTGACAGGTGTAAATCCTGTATATGTTTGTTTGTTTATTTGTTTGTTTGTTTTTTAAAAATGTCCCTTTAGTTTTATTGGAGAAGAATCTGTTGCTGCTGGTGCAAAAAGTACCTTGACAGATAATCCCACTTGGATTATTGACCCTATTGATGGAACTACTAACTTTGTTCACAGGTATGTTTTTTGCATCTTTCTCTTAGAGTCACGGTGGGCGTGTTTAGGTGTCACATTAAATCACAGACCGATCACACCCACTTCACTCTTCCCCACTAGCACTGGGAAGAAACAAACTATGATCTCATTCTCAGCATTACATCAACCAGGGAGTACAGTTTGGTTTGCTCCAAACAAACCACCATATCTAAGCAATGTTTCTCCTTGACTTCTTGATCATAGTTGGGGGTTTTTTAAGTCAACTAAATTGCAGTCTTTGATTTGGACATCACATTAAGCCATGCTTTGTTTCTCCCCTGTGGAAATAGTGAAGCGAGCATGATTGACTTGTGCAAGATACCTCTCTGCTTTCCCCCCTCTGGAATCAGAGTAAGATCTTTGTGCTGTGCTGTGAGATGGTCATGTTAGACTTTGCTTTCCAGTTTGTATTTTATTAGGAGTAGCTAGTTAAAACATTGCCTTAGTTCTCTAATTTACAGTTGAACACATGCTGCCTGTCAATCATGAACACTATGCCTCTGAGCTTACAAGTGCAATATGCTTATCTCTTTGGTTTTCAAGGTTTCCCTTTGTGGCTGTTTCAATTGGCTTTGTTGTAAAGAAACAGGTAACTTATCATTTCTTTTTAACATACAGTAAAAAAGTAAAATACTACCATTGCAGCCTACACACAAAATGTAAACTTTTTTTAAAGGCGTAAAACCCCCCTATGATATTGCATTTGTCTGGTTGCAGATGGAATTTGGAATTGTATACAGCTGTGTAGAAGACAAAATGTACACCGGCAGGAAAGGAAAAGGAGCATTTTGCAATGGGCAAAAGCTCCAAGTATCAAAGCAACAAGGTACGGCTTTTGCATTAATATAGCAGTATGACTATACAAAATTGGGAGAGTGATGGGTCAGATTCAACTAACCTGGTGCCCCAGCAGAATGACTCCCACTAGCACAACAGGGCTTCTCCACCTCTCACTGTGCCTCCCCCAGATCCTACTGTAAAGGGTAAAGTGAACCCTCAGGATAGTGATCACAGGAAGGAGAGGGGAGATAGTTATTTCCAGCAAGCAGAAATGCCTGTGCTGACAGAATGGTCATCTTAGCACAATGTTGAATTTCACCCTGTGGATTGAGAATTGCAAAGACCCAATTGTTGACTTAAATTTATTTTAGATGTACAGTGGTACCTCGGTTTACAAACTTAATCCATTCCGGAAGTCCGTTCTTAAACCAAAACCGTTCTTAAACCAAGGCGCGCTTTCCCTAATGAGGCCTCCCACCACCGGTGCCCTTCCACCGTTCGGATTCCGTTCTTAGAATGAGGTAAAGTTCTCAAACCAAGACACTATTTCCGGTTTTGCAGAGTTTGTAATCCAAATCATTCTTAAACCAGACTGTTCTTAAACCGAGGTACCACTATATTAGAATAGAATTCATTATTTCACCCAGAGAACGCTATCCTGGAGACTAGATCATTCATGTGAACAAAATGTGATGAGTGTTTTTCCATACTAGCTTCACTGTTCATTTTACGTATTATCTGTAGGAATAATTTTCAGCTCAGAAGACCATAGAGAACCTTTGGGTGCATAGTGAAATCTGCTCCTTCAAGTAAGGTTGAGGCAGCAGTGTTGGCCCATGTATCAGTCTTGTGCTTATTTTTTGATCTTATTAGAGACCATATGTTCACCAAAGGGCACTGTATAAATTCAGGTAAGTGCAGGAAGCAGAGGCCAAATCCTGACACCCTTAGCGTGTTACATGCAAATTTCTATTTATTTGCAGATTTATAAACCGCTTCACAACCAAAAGTTATTGAAGTGCTGTACAGTAAAGTAAGATAAAAGTACAAAAGATCATGAACTCTGTGAGCAAAAGGCAGTAAAACCATTTGTATGGATATTATATAATGGTTTAATGAATTATATGTTGCGGGGGGAACATTGTGTGAGTACTTTTCTTAAACACTCACTGTTTTTCCTTTGAGCTACAACAACCAAATCTGAATTAAAGTAATGGTCAGACTTGTCTACCTTTCCTAACCCCCCAACCTCTCTACAGATATTACAAAAGCACTCTTAGTGTCAGAGTTGGGATCCAACCGTGATCCAGAGGTTATCAAAACTGTGCTTTCTAACATGCAAAGACTACTGAACATTCCTATTCATGGGTATGTCTTCTTCTTCTTGCTGTTTGTTTATTAAATTAATCATACTGTCCTGCATCCGGTCACAGAGCAGTTTATGCATGCCATTACCGAAAAACAATAACCCTCCCTCAAGGAGTTTAAAAGGCCATAAAAGTGAAGGTAAAGGGACCCCTGAGCGTTAGGTCCAGTCGTGGACGACTCTGGGGTTGCGGTGCTCATCTCGCTTTACTGGCCGAGGGAGCCAGCGTACAGCTTCCAGGTCATGTGGCCAGCATGACTAAGCCGCTCCTGGTGAACCAGAGCAGTGCACAGAACACCGTTTACCTTCCTGCCGAAGCGGTACCTATTTATCTACTTGCACTTTGACGTGCTTTCGAACTGCTAGTTTGGCAGGAGCTGGGATCAAACAACGGGAGCTCACCCTGTCGCAGGGATTCGAACTGCTGACCTTCTGATCGGCAAGCCCTAGGCTCTGTGGTTTAGACCACAACACCACCCGCATCCCTTTAAAAGGCCATAGATTGTTGAATTAGCCAAAGGCCTGGAAGAAGAAAATGTTTTGGCCTAGTGCCTAAAGAAATGTAATAAAGGTGTCAGGCAAGCCTCCCTGAGGAGAGCATTCCACAAGTGGGAAGCCACCACACAAAGGCCCATTCCCATGTTACCGCCGTCCAGGTATCTCACAGACAAGGCACACAAAGAAGGTCCTCAGATAATGATTGCAGGGTCTGCAGTGGTTCATATGGAAAGAGGTGGTTCTTGAGGTATTGTGGTCCTCAGCCGTTTAAGGCTTTATTGGTAAAAACCAGCACTTTGAATTGAACCAGAAACTCATCGGCAGCCCGTACAGTCAGGCCAGGATTGGTGTTATATGCTCAAACTTTCTTGCCCTGGTAAGCAACCTGGCTGCTGAATTCTGCGTCAGCTGAAGTTTCCTAACTGTCTTCAGAGGTAACCCCACGTATAACATGTTGCCGTAATCTAACCTAAAGGTCTATGCTCTGGCATAGATGACAGAAGTTAGGCTATCCCTGTCCAGATAGGGGCGCAGCAGGGCCACAAGCTGAAGCTGATGGAAGGCACTCTTGAGATCTACATGGCATCCAAGAGGCTTGTTTAGAATGAGGCATAACTTAATTTTTTTAACAAATAGTCTTTAAAACTGTAGTGTTGGCTATCCTTTCTTTAAAAATGTTTGCTTGTATGTGTATAACAGCATATTTCAGTTGATGCAGGAAGGCGAGGGCAAGGCAGAGAACGTCAATGTTTATAGCAGTTAAGTGAGCCTAATCTGGTGTTCTGTCGTGAATGTCCTGGCCAAAAGTTCCACAAGGGGGCACTATTAAGAAACCAAAAAGTTGGCTATTCTAAAGTGTTTAAGAGGTCACACATAGTGGGGGGTTATATATAATTTAGGACATAATGGAGGAATGGTATGATGCAGCAGTGTGCTCCTATTAATAATATGCAGCTATTGAGTTAGATCCAGACTGAGGCTGCCTTCCTAAACTCACATACTTGGGAATAAGCGCTATTCATCCCAATAGGATTTACTTTTGAGAAGACACGATTTCACAAGACCTAAGTTGAGTCACGACTAACTTATCTCACTGATTTCACTGAAAGAGACCAAGGTCAAATGATTTGGTTTGCATCTGCTTCTTTTGCATTTCAAATGACTGGTGATTGCTGTGAATATTTTAATGTGAAACTGCAGGGTTTGAATTTGTTGCGATAATATACTTTCTCTGTTTTAGCATTAGAGCAGTTGGGACTGCAGCCGTAAACATGTGCCTGGTGGCAACAGGAGGAGCAGATGCCTACTACGAGATGGGCATTCACTGCTGGGATATGGCAGGGGCTGGGATTATCATTATGGAAGCGGGCGGAGTGCTGCTCGATGTCTCAGGTAAAATATGTTGGGAATGTAGCAAGACCAGTCGATTTCTGCTTTCTTAACTGAGGGATGTGCATTTGTGATGTGGAATTCTGATTGTGTTCTATGTCTTTAATGGCTGTCAGTTTAGTAAATAGTAGGTGGGGCTTTAGAATTTGAGTGTACAGTGGTACCTCGCAAGACGAATGCCTCGCAAGACGAAAGAGTTTTTCGTTTTTTGAGTTGCTTCGCAAGACGAATTTCCCTATGGGCTTGCTTCACAAGACGAAAAACGAAAACGTCTTGCAAGTTTGTTTCCTTTTCTTAAAACCGTTAATACCCAGGGTGACTTCAAGGAGCAACTCATAGCACGCGGTGTGGTAGCCTTTTTTGAGGTTTTTGAAGACTTTGGTGATTTTGAAGACTTTGGGAAACCGTGCTTCGCAAGACGAAAAATTCGCAAGACGAAAAAACTCGCAGAATGAATTAATTTCGTCTTGCGAGGCACCACTGTATTCCATCCAGTGGATTGTCAGGGTCTCAAGTTTTTGCAGGATTTAACCCACTACTTTTGTCCTAGAAAACACACCAGATTAGTATGACTAGCAGACAGGGGTTGCCTGAACTGTAAACCACTATGCAATCTTCAGATGAAGGGTGGCATTATATGATGATGATGATGTTACTTTGGAGTGGTCCTTAATAAATTTTCACATGGCTTATCCAGAGTATTTTGATAATTTCTGTATAGCTAAAACCCTGCTTCATAATATTAGTTCATAAACAACACTGTAAATCAGTTGTGTTTGTTGTTTTTTTTTCATTCCTAGGGGCACCATTTGATTTGATGTCAAGAAGAATAATTGCTGCAAATAGCCAAGTACTAGCAGAGCGGATAGCAAAAGAGATTCAGATCATTCCCTACCAAAGGGATGATGAAACAAATTAAATGTTATAATTGCACCATCTCTATATGGACAATTCCTATCAGCTGGTCTGTATACTTAAAAAGAGCTTTTAATGTGAAATGCCCCCTTTGTGCTAGGGCATGTGATACAGATCTGTTGCTGAATTCTGACATTTCAAAGCTTGATGCTTCAGTCCTTCCCAAAGTTCCTAAAAATGTGTTCAGTCTTGTGCAAACAGCACACAAGTATTTTTTAAAAAATAATGTTTCATTACCTTGTTTATGTCTCTTACAGGAAAACATATGGGGTGTGGTGGTGGGATTTCTGCTTCAAACATCTTGGGCTTAGAAACTCATTCTGTAATCTGAGGACCAAACTAGATGTTACCTTTGCAAATAAGTGGCCTCAAACTCGTGTTTGTCAATACAAGCATGGAGTGGGCGGGTGCAGGCATTTGCAAGGACAGGTCAGCCAGCAGGTGGAGCAGATGCATAACTCCTGAACAGCCCACAGTTTCTCCTGCACAATTTCCCTGGACTTTCTCTGCAGCGAAACACATTTTCTGATACAAAGCTGGATGCGAGCAGAACTTGCTGGGGAGAATCAGCAAGCACATATCTGCCTGCCAAGTCTTCCCTGCAAAGTTAGCATTACGATGGAAAAACTGCCCTGTTGTTTCCCTCGCAGTGTCCAGTTTGGCCACAAAACTTCTGCATTTGCCAACTTCTTTTTTCTGTATTTTCCACCTCATATTGTATTTCATATCAACCTTGTTGATACTGGCCTGATCAGTATCATCTTTGATATGCAGAGCACAGGATGTCAGAGCTGAAGTCAGGATCCAGTTAACCATTTTGAAAACATTGTGTGTGAAATGGTGGCATAAAAGCATATGCTTAAATTTCGTCAACTGAAATCTATGGTACTTAAAAATGTTTAGCTTTGGCTTTATTATTCTGCAGCTTTTCACAGAATTGTGGTTTTTCCTTTCTCCTTCACAATAACTGTTAAAAAAATAAAACAAGACAGGCATGCTCTCTTTCAAATACCTAATGTGATGGGAAGATGAGCTGCTTGTGCGTAAAATCGTATTCCCTCAGAGTTTGTTCAAGTCCACAAACCTCTGTCTGTGACTGAGCCCCTCTGACATGGCTCCTCTAGTCACTAGAAGATTCCGACAGTGGCTCCTTTCGTAATCGCTTCCAACATAAAAGCTCCTTAACGGAAACACGTCTTCTGGACTCTCTGCGTGACAGTTTCCGGCGAGGAGTGGGTGTCCCAACAGGAGGTCCGGAAACCTCACCACTGTTTTCGCTGGAAGTATCTCTGAGCCATCCCCCAGCTCCCTTTCCCTCAGTTCAGCTTCTCTCCCCTGCTGGTTTCCTCTTCAGCTGCTGAGTCTCTTCCAACCTGTCTGAGTCCTTTTACCTCCCTTCCTTCCGATGGCAGTTCCCTGACATCCACCTCCCTCCAGGGCCCCCTTCACCCCCTCTCGCCCCCTCCTCTACGGGCGGTGAGGAGGCAAAACCCGGAATGAACTTCCTTCATCTTCCGATGTCTCGAACACTTCTCTCCACCTGTTGCGGTTCCTGGTCTCGAAGCACTCCTCCTCCTCCGAGTCCATCTCCCCTTCCCCTTCCGATTCTGGGAATCCTTCCAACTCCTCCTCCTCCTCAGTGGTCCCAAAGTATTCCCTCCGGAACCTCTCCACAGGCTGAGGTTTCCTCGGGAACCTTTGATGGAACGTTTCTATCAATACCTCGTCATTGATATCTTCGGCCATTACCCACGTGTTTTCTGACTCCGGTTCTCCTTCCCACGCTACCAAATACTCCACCTGATTCCCCTTCCACCTGGCATCAAGGATTTCTGCCACATGACTGCTGCATTCTCTTTCTTCTATGACCGGTCCCCGAGTGGCCATCCCTTCTCGTCCCCCCTCGTACGGTGACAGTAACGACCTGTGAAATACTGGGTGCAGTTTCATGTGGTTGGGTAACCGGAGCCTGAAAGCCACTGGGTTGACCTGTTGAATGACCTCAAAGGGACCCAACCTCCTGGGTCTTAATTTCTTACAACCTCCTTTGAACGGCAACCCTCGGGTTGACAGCCACACCCTATCTCCAACCCTTATGGTTTCACCTTCCCTTCGGTTCTTGTCTGCCTGCCTCTTGTATTCTTCCTTCGCCCTTTCTAAGTTGAGTTGGAGCTGACGGTGGATTGCTTCCATTTCTTCTACAAAATGCTCGGCTGCCGGTACGCTCCATCTCTCCCCTTCTCCCCTGGGAAAGCCCTGGGATGACACCCATAATTAGCCAAGAAGGGGCTCATCCCTGTGGACACATTCTCGGCATTGTTGTAGGCAAATTCCGCCAGCGCCAACTTTTCTACCCAGTCATTCTCTCTGTCATTGACATAACACCTCAGGTATTGCTGGAGGACACCGTTTGCTCTTTCCGCCTGCCCGTTGGTTTCAGGGTGCCGGGCAGTCGAAAAGTTGACCTCCACCTGCAGTAAGCTCATGAGCTTCCTCCAGAACCTGGAAGTAAATTGTTTTCCTCGGTCTGAGACCACCCTCAATGGCACCCCGTGCAACCTAAAAATGTGTTCTACAAATAACTTCGCTGTCTCTTCCGCCGTGACTGCATGCGAGCAAGCTACAAAGTGGCACATCTTTGTTAGTAGGTCTACCACCACCATGATGGCTGTTTTCCCTTGGACTTCGGCAGATCAGTCATAAAATCTATCGACACTGCCTCCCAAGGTCGTTCTGGTGTTGGTAAGGGTTCTAATAGCCCCGCCGGCGCCCGCCTTTCCCCTTTGGCTCGCTGGCACTGCTCGCACCCTCTTACATACTCACGTACATCCTCCCTCACCTTAGGCCACCAAAATTCCCTGGTGACCAACCACATGGTTTTGTGTTGCCCAAAATGCCCCGCCGTGGGGCTGTCATGCAACTGCTTGAGTACCCTCCCCTTAAGTCTCCTTCAGGGATATACAGTGCCCCTTTGTAATACAAAGCTCCATTTCTTTCCTCGAAACCCCTTGATTCCTCTCCCTCATCCCTAAGACCTCTGAGCTTATTCTGGGCGTATTCATCATTCTCTGTTTCTTCTACCAGTTCTCTTTGTCCCACCAATGCCGCCCCACACACCCAGCGGTCCTCTGGAATGACATGTCTCTCTTCGGGTGCTCCCTCCCCTCCAAATATTCAGGTTTGCGTGAGAGAGCGTCCGCCCTAATGTTCTCTGGGCCTGGCACGTAACAAATCTCAAAGTTAAATTTGGAGAATTCCTGGGCCCACCTCACTTGCCGTTGGTTGAGCACTCGTGCCGTCCTCCAATACTCTAGGTTCTTGTGGTCAGTGCACACTTGCACCTTATGTTGTGCGCCAATTAGCAGGTGCCTCCATCTCCGGAACGCCTCATGAATGGCTAGTAGTTCTCGGTCATACACCGTGTAGTTCCTCTCGGATTTGTTCAGCTTTCGCGAAAAAAAGCACACGGTCTCCACTCTGACTCCTCCTTCCCTGGCTGGAGAAGCACCGCCCCAACCGCTCTGTCTGATGCGTCAGTTTCCACTCTCATCGGTTTTTGTAAATCCACATGCAGGAGCTGTTGTTCCGAGGCGAAGGCCCTTTTAGTTCCTCAAATGCTTGCTCCGCCTCCTCCGTCCAAACGAACTTCTTCTTACTGCTGAGACAGTCCGTAATGGGCGCCGTCAGGTGGGCAAAGTTTGGGATGAACTTACGATAGAAGTTCCCAAATCCTAAAAACCTCTGCACATCCTTCCTTGTTTTGGGTGTTTTCCATTCCAGTACCGCCTGGACCTTGCCGGGATCCATGGCCAGCCCCTTGTCAGACAGGCGATACCCCAGGAATTCCACCTCCTTGGTATGAAACTGACACTTCTCCAGTTTCACCCACAGCTGGTTGGCTTGCAGCCTGCTCAACACTTCTCTGACGTCTCTCACATGCTGCTCCTCATTCTCAGAATACACCAACACGTCGTCTAAGAAGGCCACACAATTCTTGTAAAGCAACGGCCCCAGGACGTGGTTCATAAACGATTGAAATGTTGCGGAGCCTGCTTGTAGACCGAAGGGCATAACTAAGTATTCAAATGCCCCTAAAGGGGTGAACATGGTGGTTTTCCATTCATCCCCCTTCCTTATTCGTATCAGGTTGTACGCCCCCCTTAGATCCAGCTTGGTGAAAATCTTTCCCTTCCGCACCCTTGTCAAAATGTCGTCAATCCTGGGCATCGGGAAGGCCACTGGTTCTGACACTGCATTTAAGGCCCTGAAGTCACACACCAGTCTCGGCTTGTTCGTGTTTTTGTCCACAAAAACACTGGGCTGCCCCCACCGCCCTGGACTCTCTGATGAACCCTCTCTTCAGGTTCTTGTCAATGAACTCTCTTAGCTCCTGCATCTCTCTGTCTGACATGGCGTACAGCTTGCCCACAGGGAGCTGTGCCCCAGGGAGCAAATTGATTTGACAGTCAAAGGCTCTATGCGGTGGTAGTTGGTCAGCTTCCCTTTCGCTGAAGACGTCGCGGAGATCTGCGTATTGTCGTGGTACCTTCACGTTCTCCGTTACTTCAGTCCCTGCTAGGGTGGCTTGGGCCCCTGCCAAAACCTTTCCCTCTTTGCAGTGTTCTAAGCAATGTGCTGACCCAAAAGAAACCACTCTTTGATGCCAGCCCACCAGCGGATCATGTAACGCTAGCCAGCTCATCCCCAATATAATGGGAGCTCCTCCCAAGGTGGCCACATTAAACGCAATGAGTTCGGTGTGCCTTGCCACCTTCATTATCATTGGGACGGTCTGCAAGCTGACTTCTCCTCCCAGCAGCTCCCTGCCATCGATCGTGGTTACCTGCAGGGGTTGCTTAAAGGGAGCGTCTGTATCTGGTGTTCAGCTGCAAACTCTTTGCTCATGAAATTGCAGGAGCTGCCTGAGTCCAACAGCGCCTTTATCTTTAGAGGGTGTCCGTTTGGCAGCTCTAGTGTCACTTCTATCACTAGGGCGGGTTTAGG